GGGCATAAATACCATTATTCCATTATTTTATTTGCATGCGCGTCTATCTTTTAATCAAAAATTTTAAAACAATTCAAAATTTTTGATAGTAAAGTCATTATTAAGGAAAGCGTGTAGAAAAGTGTTTCCCGTTTTAATACATCAATAATCGAAAATAAGAAACCCTTTTAATTTTTTTGATCCTTGCAAAATTGTAAAAAAAAAATTTTTAAAAAGGGATTGATTAATAAAAATTTTTACAATGAGCCGTTCTTGTTTTTCTCAATTAAAAATTTGTAAATAAAGTCTTGCAAAGATTAGGGAAAAAGTATGTTTTCTGACAAATTTAAGCGACATTATAGTCAGAATTAAAACCAAAGACAGACTGACTTTTATGTAGGGCCCGACGCCCGACTTATAAAAGTAGCAAACTGGCTGGCTTAACTGTAAAAAAGACGGCTGACTCTTCTGTGGCCAGATGGCCTGACTCTAACTTTGACAAAGACTGACCTGATCTAATGTGGGCCGATGGTTGGGTCTTTTTCTGTAGCAAGACTGGTATAATAGAGAACCCGGCTGATGATCTATACTGTAGAAAGACGGGCGCTCTATACTGTAGGACAGATGATGATCTGTAAAAATGGAACAAACTGACCCCTCTATATGTAGGACAGACTGGCCCGACCTTTTACTGACACAAATGATACTTAACTGTGAACAGACTGGCCCTGACTTATACTGTAGGGACAGACGGCTGACTCTATAAAGTAAAAAAGACTGACTGTCTATACGTAGGGACAGACTGGCCTGACTTATCTGTAGAACAGACTGACCTACTTTATGTAGACCCAAAACTGGCTGACTCTATATGTAGGACGACTGACCTGACTTATAGTGAACAGACTGATGAATCTTTTTGTAAACAGATGCATGAATTTTACTGTACAAGACGGCCCGAATTTTGTAGGCACAGATGATAATCTTTATGTAGACACAGATACATGAATCTTTACTGAACGACTGGCTTTAATTAAATGTACACAATTGGGCCCAAACAAAAATGTAGACACAGACTGGGGTGGTCTATACTGTAGCACGACGACTGACCCAAAATGTAGACATAAATAACCTGATCTATATTAACAAGACTGGCCTGGGTCTATACGTAACAACTGGCTGCATTTTGGGAGCACGACTGACCTTTACTTTTACTTTTTTAAAAAACCCCGACCACTCTATACTGTAACACTACGGCCCGACTCTATATGTAGACACAGATCCTGATCTATACTGTTTGGAAGACGGCCTGATCTTTACTGTAGACACAGACTGGCCTGACTTTAAATGTAGAACAGATACCCACCTTACTGTAAAAAGACGACCTGACTCTTAATGAGACAACAAATGCCCTATATGTAAACTACTGACCCGACTTTATACTGAGAACAGACTGGGCCCGACTCTATCGTAGACACAACTGGCTGATCTTACTGTGACCAAAAGGCCCGATCATAATGGACACAGTGACCTGCACTTACTGTAAAAACAACGGGCCCGGCCTATATGTGGGACAGTGGCCTGGTCTTACTGTAGACACAGATGGGGTGATCTAACTGTAGAACAACTGGCCCGACCCCTTTTTGTACACAAACTTGCCTGAATCTTTTAATGTAGACACAGAAATGGCCTGGCCAAACGTAGGGACAGACTGGCTACCTAAACTTAGACAAGACTGGCCGACTTTTAAATATAGAAAGTGGCTGATCTTAAAGTAGACAAGACTGGCTTATCATATGTAGAACCTGACCTACCTTACTGTAGCACAGCTGAGACCAGCTGGCCTGAAAACTATACTTTAGAACAGATGTTAAAAAGAGGCGAATCTATATGGACACAGGCTGACCTAACTTTCTGTAGGGACAGCTGACCTGACTTATCTGTTAACAAGACTGTTGAAATTTTATGTAAGAAGACTGGGCCGGTCATACTCTAGGGACACTGGCCGACTTATACTTTGACAGACTCCTGGGCCCATACTGTAGACACAGACTGACCCACTTTTCTGTAGACAAGACGACCGTTTTACTTAGACCAGATTTAAAATGACTCTATACTTGTAAACCAACGGGCCCGAATCTATACTGAGGATAAATGACCCCGAATCTTTTTTCTGTAGACAAGACGACATGAATTTCTGAACAGATGGGGTAAATTAAAATGTACAATATTGGCTGAATCTAAACTTAGAACAGACGGCCTGGCCTATACGTAGGCAGATACCTGACTCTATACTGTAACATAACTGACCTACTAATTTTAGAAAACTGGCCCGGCTCTTATGTAGAACAGACTGGGGTGCATTATCCCAGACACAGACTGACCTGACTCTTTACTTTAGACACGTGACCTGATTTACGTAGACACATACTGGGCCCGACTCTATACTGTAGACACAGTGACCTGACCATATGTAGGACAGATGCCTGATCTTTACGTAGACACAGATGGCCGTCAATGTAGACACAGATGCCTGACTCTATACGTAGAACAATGACCCGACTCTATAAAAGTAACCAGCTGCCTGACTCTTTTAATGTAGACACAAAAACTGACCTGACTCTATACTGTAGACAAGATGGCCCGCTCTAACTGTAGACACGACTGACTGACTCTTAAAAGTAGAACAGCTGCCTGCTCTATACTGTAGAAAAGAGACCTTCCCTTTTCTGTAAAAAGACTGGCTGGGTTTACTGTGGACAACTGGCCCGGCTCTAATGTAACCAGACTGGCCGATCTAATCTGTAAAAAAACTGGGGTGACCCTTTTCGGGGAAAACTGGGGTGAAACTATACTGGACAAGCTGGCCCGGCCATAGTGCACCTGGGAATAAAAGTAGCCGACTGCCGACTCTTATATAGACACAACGGCCCGACTATACTGTGAAAAACTGGCCCACTATACTGTAGAAAAAGACTGATACTCTAATTTTGTAGAAACCGACTGTAGGCCAAAACTGGCCCAATCTATACTGTAGACCCCAGCTGTAGACCAGATGGGCCCCGAATCTATACTGTAGACAAGACTGAATAATTATACTGTGGAAGACATGACTTATACGTTTTAAAAATTGAATCTAACTGTAAGCAAGCTGGCCTGGGTCTATACAGGGCCCGATGGCCCGACTCTATACTGTAGACACAGACTGACCTGGCTCTATACTGAACCGGGCTGACTATCTTTTTGTAGACACAGATGACCTGATTATATGTAACCAGATTACCCGACCCATACTGTAAACCAGACTGGGCCCGAATCTATACTTAGGAAAACTGATACCTATAGTAGACACAGACGGGGGAAACTATAATTAGGCCCGATGGTCTGGAAAACTGTAGCCAGACTGACTACCATACGTAAACGTAACCTGATCTTACGAGCAAGACTTGGGGCCTGCTCTATACGAGCAAACTATGACTCTATATGGGAGCCCGACTGACCCGACCTATACGAACACAGACTGGTGGGTTATACGTAGAACGGGTACTGACTCATATGTAGATAAAATGACCCCGACCTATATGTAGGCCCGCTGGTTTTACTCTATACTGTAAGCACAGATGGGAAAATCTGTTTGTAAACAGACTGGTATCTAACTTAGATACGACTGCCAATCTAACTGTGACACAACGGTGAACCATACGTACACAGAGACCCGACTTAACTGGACACAGATTTGGGACTATCGTGACACAAAGGCCTAATTTACTGTATACAGAGGGCCCGAATTTATCAACACAACGACCCGACCCATACGCAGAAAGACGGCTAAAAACTTTTAGACAAACTGGCTTTGAAATTTATATGAGACAAGATGGGCCCGAAAAATACTGAACAATGGGGTAAAATTTTTACTTACCAGACTGACCGATCTATATGCAACCGACGGGGTGACTATATAAAAAGACTGGTGAAATTTTACTGTAACAAAGCTGGTCGAATTTACTGTAAAAGATGGGCCGAAATTTTCTGTAAACAGACTGGTAAAATTTGTTTAAAACAGACGACTGAAAACTATACTGAAACAGCTGGCCCGACTCATAGTGTAAAAACCGAATGGCATACTCTGACTCTATACTGTAGACACAGACTGGCCTGACTCTATATACTGTTAGACACAGACTGACCTGACTCTATACTGTAGACACAGACTGACCTGACTCTATACTGTAAGCACAGACTGGCCTGGCTCTATACTGTAGACACAGACTGACCTGACTCTATACTGTAGACACAGACTGACCTGACTCTATACTGTAGACACAGACTGACCTGACTCTATACTGTAGACACAGACTGGCCTGAATCTATACTGTAGACACAGACTGGCCTGACTCTATACTGTAGACACAGACTGGCCTGACTCTATACTGTAGACACAGACTGGCCTGACTCTATACTGTAGACACAGACTGACCTGACTCTATACTGTAGACACAGACTAGCCTGGCTCTATACTGTAGGCATAGACTGGCCTCACTCTATACTGTAGGCACCGACTGGCTTGCTTATGTTGTAGGCACAGACTGGCCTGGCTCTATACTGTAGGCACATACTGGCCTGGCTCTATACTGTAGGCACCGACTGGCCTCACTCTATACTGTAGGCACAGACTGGCCTGACTCTATACTGTATGCACAGACTGGCCTGGCTCTATACTATAGGCACATACTGGCCTGACTCTATACTGTAGACACAAGTTTGCCTGGCTTTATACTGTAGGCATTGGTTGGCCTGGCCCTTTATTGTAGGCACAATTTGGCATGGAGCTATTTTGTTCTGTTGGTACATTTTTGAAATCATTGCAAAAAAGAGATTTATTCTTGGTCAAGACCAATTTCTTGCACGCCGTCTTGCGACAACTGTGCGTTGAAATAGGAATTCTAAACTTGCTTGGCATATTAACTAATAATACAAACTAGGAAGTATTATAACATTTTCCATTAATTTCAAATGCAAAATAATGGTGTTTTTCCAGATTTGGCGACGAAGGATCCTGGCGGTTATTGGGTTTCACAATATTTGGCGTTATTTTGTTAGTAATTGTGAAGTTGGGCAATGCTTATGAGACAGAGCTTGACGACTGGTGGGATAGTACCAGTCCTTTCAGACATTCTAGAGGCGTGGCCAGATTCGGAACTTTTATAAACTGGTATAAATTTGTATGATTTGGTGGCAGAGCTTAAGTAAAGATTTTATTTCATACATTTGTAGTATGAAAGGATTTAAGCGTTTCACCAAGTATATATTTTACTGTGTTTTGTTCTGCTTACTATATATTTCGTACTCCCTTCCCATATCTATTTATACATTTATTGTAGCCATTTTTCTTTTTCAATGTTTAATGTTCAGGCCTATTACTGTTTGTTTGTCTGAAGACAAATTTCTATCGCAATAAGTCAGTTCCAAATATTATTGTTGTTTTTACAGGTTTTTGAAGATTGGCGTGTTTGTAGGTGTGGTGGTCTACATTATTTTGGACATAGCGATTGACCATCCACAGAATATGATATCTGTAGCCGGACTTGTGCTCTATATTTTGATCTTCTACGTCACTTCCGTCAATCCTGCAAGGGTAAAATAATCCTCGAATCTAATCGAACAAAATACTTTTCAATTATTTATGTTCCTTTTCGTTTTTATCATCGTTATATTTAATCAGCCACAAACACGCGTAATTTTCTTCAGTTATTAAGCAGTTGCGAGAACATTATAAAACCTGATTTGAAATGACCTTCTATTATCCTTCTTCATGCAGTGAAGCTTTGACAAAAACTAAACTTTATGTATTCATATTCTACCTGGGAGAATTAAAATATTTGACTTGACTTTGTAAAACGTTCATAATTCACGTTTCCTTTAATTTGTTTTGAATTTGACTAAAACAATAATTACGCAAATATAAAGATACACTTGCATTCCAGTCCTGTTGGTATATAATGTACAATATATATATAGTTCATATATCATTTTCTATAAGCTTCATTGCAAAAATTACCTTGCTTGCAAGCATCACAAATAAGTAATAATATTGAAAAGCAAATGATTAATGTCTAAAATTGCATAAATAACGGAATCAAATGTTTGATAAAGTTTTGCAAAAGAACCAACTTTGCATTGTCATGATTGTCATACATTTCTGATAATTATTAATTACTAAAACATTGCAGGTCAATTGGCACACTGTATTTTGGGGTATTGCTCTACAGTATGTATTTGCTCTAATGATATTACGGACACAATGGGGTTACGACATTTTTAAATGGCTAGGGGATCGTGTCACAGAGTTTCTGGAGTATGTTATGGCTGGAGTTTTATTTCTCTTTGGCGATACTTGGTACCAACACTTTTTTGCTTTCAAGGTATGTTAATTTTAGCTTTCTTTGCTAACTTAAGGTGATTTCTATATACAACGTGTTCCACTAAGGATTATCCAATTTTATTCACCATACTTTGAGATGGGTTTTATATTCGACTAACTTAAGGATGATACATTTTTATTCACCAGTTCCGTATATCCAACTTATGATAATAAATTGTGTTTCGCCAGACTTCGAGGTGAGTTTCACATATAAGTTATAATTTATAATGATAAATTGTGACTTGCGAAGTTCGAGATGAGTTTCATATCTCGTTTATGATAATAAATTGTGATTCGCCAGACTTTGAGGTGAGTTTCACATACAAGTTATAATTTATAATGATAAATTGTGATTTGCGAAGTTCGAAATGAGTTTCATATCTCGTTTATGATAATAAATTGTGATTCGGCAGACTTTGAGGTGAGTTTCATAGCCTACTAAGGATGACTAATCTTGATCTTTATAACTTTGAAACAAATTTACTAGTAAACGGCTAGCATGTGAAATATCAATGGACCAACTCAGGATTTTCATTACGCAAATGTAAAACATATTTGGTCTCAACACCCTTCAAAAAATCTAGAAAGTTGCCATTAAATCTTCAAAACATTCAGTTTTGCTTCAAACTGAAACAAATATACAATATATGTGTAAGCGTTTAATTGTCACAATGTTGTTTGGGCATACGTTTAAACGTTGTGTTTCCAACAAACATAAAAGATGTTTTCTGACGTATAAGTCAACATTAGAAACATTGTATACATATCTTGTTATAATTACATTGATACCATATAACTATTCTATCCGACAGAGTAAAAACAAATTATCTTTTGTGATTGCTATTCAGGTTTTATCCATTGTGGTGTTTTTCTTCACGTTCATCAACATAATGTACTACCTTGGTGTAATGCAAGCAATTATCAAGGTCCTTGGACAATTTCTTGCTTTCTGCATGGGGACCACACCTGCTGAATCAATCAACGCTGCTGCAAACATTTTTGTCTCTATGGTACGTGAAACTGTCTTTTTCTTAACTTTATCATAAATTTGGGATGCATAAGCGGTTCCAAGCTTATACTAGTATTTTGACGCGGCGTTGTATTAGTTATACATAGTGTGGTTAAATCACTCATAATGTTAGTGTTAAAGTCAAGCGCGTCCCTAAAGAAGTGATCCTTTTTGTCTGTTAATTGTGGGTTTGTACTAAATAGAATATTAAATTCGTGTAGCTTCGTCCCTATTTTGTGAACTAGTTGAAGAAAGTAATATTTTTATATTATTATTCTGTTTAACTCATTCAATATTTTTGACCTTGAATCTACACCAATATATTATCAATATGAATTACAGGAGTAATGCTTGCCGATCCTAATCACGGAGTCGGTACCATTCTTCCTTTGTGAACTACGTGAGATACTCAAGACCGGTCTATGTAGTATTTTCTAATATTACGTTTTAAATATTCCATTTTTATTAGGTGAAGCTCATTCTAGTTTGTAACATATACTTGTACATTGTACATAGAATGTTTCTTGGGAAAACCCAGTATTTGTCCTTGGTGTGAAACAGCGTGTTTGTACCTTCGGAAAGTAAACCTAAAAACATTTTTGTATTATATACTCACTAGAGAAAGCGGGTTCCGCGCCTGATCCTATAAAAATAATGAAATATTTATAAAATTACAAATAAAAGAAAATACTACATATAGAGGTGTTTTGTATTTGTTTTGCGCAAAATATGTGATGTATAGGCATCTTGCAAACAGTATTGCACTACTTTTGCTGTTTATCATTTGTCTTGCAGTACTTAGCATGCAGACATATGTTTAAGATTTTCCATTTTATATGTCGAGTGGTCAAATATAAATACAATCTGATATTTTATTATACGGCATAGGCACAGATATTTGATTATATGTTATGCGCACGTTTAAAAAATCTTGTCAAATTATATGTATTTTCCTTATTTTTGGTCGTATGTTTAAACGTGCATGAATTTCAATTCTGCTTATTGAAATTATTTTAAAGGCATGTTATGACTCGGAAACTAATAATTATTTTTCCACATCTTAACAAACGGCTAACGTAAGTTTTATAGCGAAGAGCATTTAAGATGCTTATCACTCGAAGAAAGTAGTGCGAATAATAATAATGAAACTTCTTGTTATGAATGCAAAAGTATACAAAGTAGTATTTTAACTTCCACACAAATACTCAATCACTACAAGTGCACGAATTGCCAAAATGCCTTTGAAGCAAAAGATTATTCAGGTAATTGGCCACTGAATAAATTTTGGAATATAAGAAAAAGTTATAAAAATACAAAAAGCTCTCGAGAATGAAAACATGCATTTCTGAGGCATTATAGGCCTTTAATTTTTTTTAATAGATTTATCAGATGTTTTAATGGATGTTGTATGAATATAAAGGCAATTCAAAATATAGAATTTGTTTCATCAGATAGAAGGTCCTACGCTCATCAGACACTGCATAAATGATATGACAAAATCTGAACTTCATTCAATACTGACCAGCGGGTATGCGACAATTGCTGGGGGAATCCTAGGTGTTTATATTACATTTGGGGTAAGGCAGAAATAGCCTTTCACCCCCACCATCTCCTCTAGCAAATATTTATCAACCAGTTATTAAACAGAAATACTTAAAGCCTGATGAAACTTCAAAAATGCTTTTATGCTGGTGAAGGTTCTGAAGCTGTACTCACTGGCCATATGGCTGAACTATCTTTTTGCTTATTTTGCTTCTTTGGCCCTTACTAACGATACAGTGATTAAGAAATTGTAGAGAAGACAAGATACATCTCCAGTTATGTCATTAATGACAATTCATTTCTCATATAAAATTAAGTCTTAGCTTACTTTCTTCAACTGATAAGAATGTAACAAGCTCTAAATATATTACTAAAGCATTACAAAACACAAATGTTCCCTTTCTTTAAAGAAAACTTATTTGTTTTTTGAGGTTTAATGGGCTCGCTTAGCAGATTGTCTTTGCTTTGGTGTTGAAATTCTAGGTGATGTCGTTACAAAAAATGGTAACGCGTGTCGTTTGTACCTTCAAAAGAGTATATATATAGAGAGAGATATAATGGTAAATCATATGGTTTGATGTCTATATGGTCGCTACTTTGCATGATGACTATATGTTATTGTAGACGGAATCTCCGTTGATGATCCGGCCATTCCTCAAAGATATGACACATTCAGAGCTTCATGCAGTAATGACGGGAGGGTTTGCCACGATTGCTGGAAGTGTTTTAGGAGCTTATATATCCTTTGGTGTGAGTTATACCCATATATTCCTATATCCAACAGAGTTTTGTTTTGTCAATGTAACTTCATTTAAACGTCATTTCGATAGTCGATTAACTGTCTTTATATCCCTTTATATCAGAATAATAGATTTTCAGAATATACATATTTTCCTTCCTTAACTTATTCGAATATTTTGTACAGACACTTTCAAGCAAATAGTAATCTTACATATAGTATTTTAATGACATTTGCATAGCTTATTACCATCTTATAATACAGAAAAATAATTATTTTGCTCTGTTTTCAGCCTGTGTGCAAGACTTGCTATTTCAAACAAAAGCACAAAATTAAATATAGAATTTAAAAAATATATATATTAATTAAAACAGACAGACAAAACCTTAAAACAACATAGAATGAAATTAAAAAAAAAACACACTGAGAAAATTAGCCATTCTTTTTTACGGTACATTTTTATAAGAAGCAAACAAATAATATCAGTCAATACAAATAAAAACGGCACATAACAAAAACCAAAAATAAAAACCAACAACTACTTATATTCATATGAATGTGGGCAAGTTTCAAATATTCTTGAATTCATACAGGTGCCAGCAAATCATCTTTTGTCAGCCAGCGTAATGAGCGCCCCCGCTGCACTTGCTATTTCTAAATTATCTTATCCCGAGACAGAGAAAACTAAGGCTAAAAAAGATGACTTCGCAAAAATGGAAAAATCGTAAGTCATTTATGTGCTTTCACTTTTAAAACACGATTACATATGTAGTTTACATTTTATGATTTGTATGTTTTTAAGGAATGTAATTATAATTGGCAACGTCTTAGACATAAAAGTGTTCGGAACATGTCGGAGCGTCAAGATTAATTATCATTGATTCGAGATGTTTAAGATTTTAAGCGAACCGTGAATTCATTGTGAAATGTAACAGCTGCAGATATTTGACGCTGCATTATCTGTCTGCGGTTGGTACAAAATGCAATGTCATGAAATTGATCTTGTTGTTAGACTTTGAAAGAAATGTTAAAGATATACAAGGCTCATCATTAAGTAAAATGTTTTTATTGTAGAAATTTATTGAAATCTATCAAATTCTTACTGAATATGTCTAATTTAATTTATAGAATGCACAAACTGTGTAAGGAAAGATGCATTCTAAATTGCTAGTCAAGTAAAGTTGGTCATTTGTAAAAATGAAAAACTGCAGGGTTTTTTTATTTACACTATGGATTCATACTTTGTTCACCTATATTGTGTAGGGCTTAAAAATTTATACATATACTCTATATATACTCAAAACCTGTTTATTTAACCTTGAAAAGAGACTGTGTATTAATATTTTCAAAAAATGAGCATAATATCTCTTTAAAGAACTGAAAATACTTTTTTGCAATACATATACATTGTATAAATAATTGATATAACATTATTTCAGACCAGAGCATAACATAATTGAAGCGGCGTCAAATGGTGCATCCTCAAGCATTAAGATTATAGGAGCCATTGCTGTAAATGTGTTGGCCTTTTTATCATTGTTGGCCTTTCTAAATGCTACACTAACATGGTTTGGTGATAGAGTTGGGATAGAGGGTCTTACATTCCAGGTATAATATAAAATACTGATCCTACTTACATAAAAACATAAGAAAACACTTGTTTGATAGGTATATTATCTGCCAATATACATTCGGCTTTTTTCGGCAATCTTCGTAATAAGTACCTCGAGTAGGAGGCCAATTCTGATTCTGTCGGTTCTGTTTGAACTTGTGATGGCAGAGTACATATATGCATGTATGATCAAATGAATTTACCATGTGATGGTTTTTATTCAAATAACTTGTAAGTTATTAGACTCATTTTTTTGAGAATCTTCATCTTTGAATAAATTTTATATCACATTTCTATTGAGGTTAGGTTTCTGTCATGTATATATATTTGACCGGGATCATTGTACTATATTGTTAAAGATCTCTTATAAAAATAAGCATATGTTGCAACACGTTAATTAATTGATAAAAACAACACAAGTTTGAAGAAATTTTGTATAATATTTTTCATATTTCTTTTGAGCCCAAAACAATGTCTAGTGTTTTTTATTGACCAAGTTAAAGCAGATCGAAAAGGGCTTTATCATTGACTTCTTTAGAATTCTAGGTAAGTCTGTGGTTCCTCTGAAGTGTTATTGCAATACCGGTAATGCATTAAATTAAGCTCATATTTTGACACGTACGTACATGTCTTCGAAATCATTATTCGGGGTCAATGTCCTTAATTTTATTTTATTTTTCTTAATTTTTGACATGGATTGACTGAATGATTGTTTAAAAAAATTGGTTTACGTTTTGAATGCAACTTTAAAACTACTGATGGTATTCACTTGATACTTATCCTTTTTTTGTAAATATACTCTATAACTCTGGCATAAATTGTAATAGAAATATGCCCCTTTAAGAATTTACAAAATTCTTTGGTCAATATCCAAGACTCATGACTGTGTCACTTTTTTATAATAAAATTTTCTTCCTTGATTATTTTTTCTCTACATTATCGGATATCCAGTCTCTTGTTTTTTTTATCAAGTAAAGCTATTTTTCTCTTTCCAGTACATATGTTCCTACGTCCTTTATCCAGTTTCTTATTTCATGGGCGTGGAACCCGATGATTGTAGAAAAGTAGCTGAGCTCGTAGGTAAGCAATACATACAGTTCTAACATTTGGTCTTGTAAAACAGTACCATTGTTTGATTCTGAAGCTTTAATAATTTCAGTGAAACTACTTATATTTTGTTAAGATGCTTATGTCCAAATATGTTCAAACTTCTATTTTCAATGCTTTTTACGAATCTGCAGATTCGATTTTACAATTCATATAAATTTTGATGTTTATAATGCATTTTAAGAATCATAAGCTTGCTCTCCTATTTAAGACAATTTCATTGTTTTCTTAAAATGTAAAAAAACAAATGTCTGTTTATCTTTGTTTTAAATAAGAAAAAATGTCGAAGACCATGCTTCAATTTTTAAGGATATAAAAACATCTTGTAGCATTTTGTATTTTGCCTTGATTGCAGGTGTTAAAACATTTACAAACGAGTTCATAGCGTATGGAGATCTAAAGGTTTTGATACAAAACAGGAAAGATCTCGGAAATTATACAGACTTTTTCAATACTACTGACTGGTTTTGGAAAGATGAAAATGTTGTCTTAAACATAACCGGCGCGGTTTTAAAGGGAGGCTTTATAAGTGTAAGATAACTTCATTGCAATTTTCCTTATTTCAATTCATACGGTGCATATTATGCTATTTGTGTGAGCAAATGCACTTATCCATACAATTGTTTGTTGCATTTTGTTCTGTATATCAAATGAGTTTACCCCTGATAGTTGTCACCAACTAAGCTTTCTTGCAGTTTAATTTTATACCTGTCTGCTTATCTATTGAAAATAAAATGTGTTTAGTAATTACTAATGCTTCACTTGCAAATCGCACATGAACTAGATAATTAATGTTGGTTGAAAGTTTCAATTTATAAAGGAGCTTTGTCGCGTTTGATAATTTGTTCTTTTAATTTTTTGTCATCTTAATCTGAATGATCAAGGCGTATGTTATTGTAAACAGTATGCTTAATGTTGGTTCATCGTAACAAAATGAGATAAGTAAAAACAAATTGAATCAAATTAATATCAAGTATTGATTAATAAAATTAAAGAAACAAGGCAATATATGTTTTAAATGTCATTATATTTGAAATTTATTTTTACAGGAAAAATCAGAAATAATTGCCACATACGCATTGTGTGGTTTTGCAAACTTCGGTTCAATAGGAATTACTTTAGGAGGTTTGGGTGCTCTTGCTCCTACAAGGAAGTCAGAATTGTCACAAATGGTTGTTCGAGCAATGATCTGTGGAAATGTTGCATGCTTTTTGACTGCATGTATTGCAGGTAATCATGTTTGTTTACTTTTTAAAACTCTAAATTTATATACAATATTCCTCAGATTATGTTATGTCTGATAACTGGTAATAATGAAACAATCCTTGTCAGCATCACATATCATAACATATGTATAGCAAGGGTAACATAATATACTTAAAGAAAAAGCTTTGCTGAACAGATTGCGTGTATTTGTCCAAAATGCTGTATGATTTATATGCTGTATGTCATAAGCGTGAAATAAAATGTATACATGCTTGCTTATCTGTTTTTGCAGGTCTTCTCTACAAACCTTTCTAAAGGAAAGAAAAGTCTAGCAGAATCGACAGGATGTTCGTCTCATTATCCATTGTTTATTTGTTTGTTTTCTTCTGAAGAAGTATATTGTATTGCTCATATTAATGATCTTTGCGTTGTGAAATCCGACTATCAATACGTTATTTTACCCACCAACTGGGCATCTGTTCTTTACAAACTAAGATGTTGACTTTAATACATATTCCTTACCAGTGTTGCTTTCTAAATGGATGTTGTTATGATAAAACATTTTTTTTCTTGTACATAGTACTTATTTGCAATCTTCCAGAAGCATTCAAGCAACACGCTTATAACACATTTTTATTATTTGGCTTAAATGTCACTATACCTTTCTGTGTTTGAAGATCTCTAAATACCTTACTTTCGGTTACATCTTATTTGAATTTTGTTTTTTATATAAAACTTGAAATTTGTGTATCCTTATTGAAAATTAACAAATTTAAATCAATGACCAGTTTGGATAATTAAGGGTTTTGTATATAAATGACGTTTTTATTACTTTTCATACTTTCTCATGTTATTGTTTTAGCGAATTTGAAACTATTTTATCTTACAAACTGTAAATGTAAGAATATAGATCTTTAGCTAATTATATTATTTCAAAGATGATTTTATTTAATTTACTTATATCCACTCATGTTGTTACATACAAAGCAATTATTTGTTACTTCAAAAATTTGCCTTTGCTTTCTTTTTTATTTTTATTTTTTTACTTGATTTGTAATATATCTTATCTTTGTACACGAGAATTAAAAGTGAAATGGGATATTTCTTTTTCGTGTTTTTTTATATGCATCGTTTTTGGTTTTACTATCATCATTAGAAATTGTTATGTTACCTGTTAAATATGTTGCTACTATATTGTATCTTTCGCCAGGACACAGGATTTTCTATTCATCACAGCGTAACATACTTCAAAGTACTTTTATTATAAAAGCTTATAGATAAATTGTCAGGTGTAGACCTGAAAACGTTGTGCTTTTCTCTATAAGCTCCCACTTGGACATTTCCTACTACATCATAAGAAATCATTTGAAAACCTTATTAAAAACTATTTGCAACGTACCACAACATACATCGAGTAATGTTTACATATGTTTCTAGATTGATTTTAAATGTCTCTGTTCAAAAGTCAGTATTTCTTATTTGTTTTATAAAAATGGAAACTGCTTCCAGTCAGATTTATTTAAGAGATGCTCCACCACCCAGACTCTGAAAGTTAACATACGTAGAAGGAAGACATGAAAAACACTTTAAAATGACAATATGCTCAAAATTTTATTGTCAAGTTGAGCTGATTTGACGCTATATTCCAAAAGATTGCCTGTTATAATGGTGATTAACAAACAGTTGATACTGGAAAATGATTAGGATGAAATATAAATTTAGCTAAACTATAAAAACGAACTGCTCCACTCTTTTCATAAATTAACAATGTCAATGACAAAAAAGTTAATTGGCATATGGTCAACGGTCCAAGATCAACAAATGACATTAATAAATGTACATGTAAATACAATGCTTTCTGTGATTCAAGAGCATAATAAGTGATATTAATATATCGTTTACAGAAAATATATATTTATTAAGTTGTTCAAGTATAAGTTTTCTTTTAAAAAGAGCATAATAAATACACATAGCAACATTTTTAATTAATGAGTGGTTTCTGCTACTCATCAGAATAGCAAATGATTGAATACATTGTTTGTCATACAACTTTCAAGAACAAAATTGTGTTCGAGTATTTGAAAGTCTAGAACATTTTAATAAGAAATTGTACTCATCTTCTACCTCAACTTGACACAATTTACATATTCTTAACTGCTTCTTTACTCCACTGTTTGTATTTACCACGTTCAATTTCAAGGCCAGGTGCAGACGTGCGAAAACGTGACATTGCGGATATCTAAATCATCTTTGTCCATGGCATGCCAATTTTGTAAATATTCATTACAAACTGAAATAAGAATTGCTTCTCATTTTTCACATATTTATTGTCTCAAATATACCCCATATCATTTGAATATAAGAATGTTTTAACATCTGTAACCCAGTTTTTCTTTCTATTATTTGATAGATACTATAGCATATTATAACATTTCTTTACTAATCTACTGTCAGGTAGTTTCGCAATTTTGTACCAGTATCGAATAACTCGCTTTGCAAATGTAATATATACAGGATGTCTCCAGCAGTCACCAAGGTCAGCTGCATTTATTGTATTTCTGTTTACATGCATAGTTATGTATCAATTCTATTGAAGTTTTGCGGTGAAAATTTGTCTTATTTTAGTGTCAAACATGTTTAAGAAAACACGTCTAGGGTAACCGACCATAGTTATAAAGTTTCGATAATGTATATATGAGTACACGTTTGCCTTTCGTTGCCTGTTTACTAACCATTTTTGAAAAAAGAGATTAGGGCTGAACATAGTTCCTACATAAGAGAAACTTTTACAACTTCAATTGGAGTACCGTCAAAATTTCTTTTTCCATGACGTGATAGGCAACCGCCATGTTTAATAACCATAAATTTAGTCTTATCTTTATATACCATAATATTCATATCGACACAGAATTTCTTTAACGTATCTAGTCCACCCTACTACAGTGTCAGCAGTTAGAGCTAAATCTTCAGCAAACAAGAAACATTTTACTTCATATGTGTCTGGATATATAGCTATTACATGAGTAGAAGAACTTTCGTAGAGTTTATATCCCGCTCATTTATGAAAATTGCAAAAAGAATCGGCGACCCAAAACACCCTTGTTTGGGGCTCAATGGGCAATAAAATTGTTCTGATAGACCATCACATGTTCTAACTCGCGCTTAAATAGAGTTGTACATCCCATACATAGCCTGCAGCAGTTTGCTACTAAACCCGTTATTAGTACAGTCAGTCCACAATTATCACGTCTGATTAAGTTTAATAAAATCTACGAATGCGACGCCTGGTCTTAACATCTGTATTGGATAGTAAGTTAAGTAACCCTCCCTGAATCCATCCAAAATGTGGATCCTTTTTTTTTTTTTTTTCGTATGCAGTTACGTAGAAGTTAATTCTTAAACAAGCGTTTAAATGAGTCAAGTTTTAAAAACATTTTTGATCGAAATATTTTTCCATGCACTGTTAGCGTGTAAGAATAAATTTTTCCGTTAAAAAATTTAGAATCGATCTGTTAAGCGAATTGCAGGGCAGGCAAAACAGATTGTTTGCATTCATTTTAAATTAATAATTAAATTGTCTGAGGATTTTAGTCATTTTTATCATATTACACGTATTATTACTTACAAGCATCTGCTGCATTGAACAAAAGAACTTCCCAATATTCTTTTAGTTTAGACATTATTATCATTAAAATAAGTGGATCGGGCTTTTAGATGTCCATTTATGAAGGTTAATATTGGCCAATTTCGAACCGATTATAAAGTATCGAGTCGTGTGTGAAGTTACAAATAAAACTACTATATCTCCTCTACAATGTCTAACCACTTTTTACACTATACCTGTTTTTACAATACGAAAAGTGAATTACTAGACCGCTTAAAAGAGCCGGGAGTAGCCTCTTTAAACAAAAATTAGTAAGCAGAGGTATTAAAATGAAAATTATGAAATGAATATATTTTCTTTAAAAAAAATGAATTTTTTCGAGCATTGTTGATTTCATATCTCCATAAGATTCTGTTATTATCATAACTTACCAGTATATAACGATTAATAACAAATCATGAATATGGTCAAAAACGTAATTAGATAAGAAAGTACGCATTTATCAACCATGAGCTTAAAACACCAAATCATTTTGATAGTCAATACCTGAAGTATAAAAAAACTTCCGAAAAACTTTTTAAAACTTTGAAATTAAACAAAACAATAAGATTAAAGTGAATGGGTTCATAAAAGGTGATCTATAAAACCATACAAATTAGGACGATATACTTTAGTATCACATATATAGCAAAAATTACATAAGAATGATATGTAAGTGTTGTTGGTAAGTGTGAGACACGTCATACCATATTACTTATCTATAAATTGTAAATAATTAAGGTTCTAGAACAAATTATTATTATCTTTTATCACATACATGTTTATACTAAATAACTTACTAATAACCAACATTTTTTAACATTTTATTAAAATATACAAACAAATCATTTCTACTGATTGATAAATATTTGAAACTCTAATGAAAAAAAACGCCTTTTGTAGATGAAACCACTTTAAGACCTCAACATACTTGATTTGAAAAAGACTTGCTCGGGCTAGTTCTGTTTGTCAGTCTTGCCGTCCATCAAACTTTCAGTTGTAACTTTGCGAAATCTAATACCATGTAAAAAGTTGTATTGACAGGCATGTATTTGATATACTCTTCCCGTGTTTGTTCTTCTTTTAAGCAGTCTAGTGTTAAATGTTGAAAGTCTAGATTAAATTTATTTACAAATAATTCTTTACCATGGTAAGCTTTGTGTAGGTCTTTTACTCCAATTATGCATATACCTCTAATATATTTCCTTCTGCATCATATTTCCAAAAAAAATGAAAAAGTGAAAATATTAAATTCGTTGCCTTTTTTTAAAAAAGTTATACATTAATATAAATTTGTTTAAAAAAATTTAAATTTAACCGTTTTTTAAAAAAATAACAAAACATCACATTTTATTTAATTGGGTTTGGTAAAAATTTTATGCTGGGTTTTTTTAAAACTTCCCCTGGAAAAAATTTTTCTAAGCATTGGTTTTGTTCAAAGTAAAATGAAATTTTTTTACAAAAAATTCTGTAATTGTAAGTTTTGGGGCATACGATAACCACTTTTTCCCAAAAAAACTCCAGCATGAAAACCGAAAATTTTCCAGATAAAGAACCAAAAAAATATGGTTTAAAAAATAGGCTCCCCTTTCCTTTAAAAATATTTAAAAGATCATCAATTTTCCTAAAACAACAATATTTTTTTTTAAAAAAAACAAAAATAAACAAAAAATTTCAATAAGCCAGTAAAAATCCATCGAAAGACAACAACATACTTTATTTTAATTTATCTATTCGAATATTTATATAAACTGTGCATAAGATTGCTTTTGTATAATACATATAGAGAATAAAGAAATAAAACAGACTTGTAGATAACTATATGTGGAATGTTTCAAGATATAATCAATGTTAGATGGCCTTACATATTAAAGATACTCAAAATTTTCGATATTCTTTCATTTATTGAACATTTAGTAAAACGAGCTATTTTAGATCATAATTTTTTTTCTTTTCAAAAATTAAATATTTAAGTCTTTTTAATAAATATAATACTTACAAAAAACCTACTTGTTTAAATTTTTTACTTACCTGTAAAAGAACCTTTGATTCCTAGATGTGGGTTATAGTTCAAGGATGAAAAGTAAAACTCATCTGGTATTTTAGTTTGCTTTAACCAATCCAAAAAGTCTAGAGACCTTTGATCATGAAGACAGAAATCAACAAAATATCTGTTAACAGCGACATGCATAGATCCCTTAGCCAGCGTAATATTATGAGGTGGGGGTGACTTAGCCATTTTATATCGTTTTGCATAGACAGTCCTTGCTCTGAAAATAAAGAATAAAATACTTGAAGACGATATACAAATCTTTTGAAACAGTTATTCACATAATATTTGTAAAGGTACATTGGATTGTCTTACAAAGAAATTTAAAGTGTTCTATTGGAACTTGCGGAAACCTATCTACACAATAACTGCCAAAATGCATTAGTGTGTATATTTATTGTCTTTGGAAGCATTTAGCGTGAAATAAAATAAATCGACGCGTTAGACCTTTGATATATGATTACAACCAAGCCCGTTGTAGTCAACAAAGTAGTTCTTTTAAATTCTAAAGTCATCCCTGGTGAAGCTATTTATATCAAAGGTATGTATTTTGTTATTTTGTACACGAAGTGTCATTTTTGAGTAAGGTTGGTTTTTGTGTATCTTTGCAGGACTTCATCTGAGGGTGGAAGGTTTTAGGAAGTATTATATACCAAAATACAGCTTAGTTGTTAACAGTAATTACACAAGTAAAAACCTGCAGAAAATGACCAATGGCTAATGTATTATTTTTTGTGCTCATTTTACTTGGATAGTATTGTTGTTTATAGTCATAGCCATCGAATTCCATAATTATAACTGTATTCTCAATCGTATCTGTGTTGGTCAAAATCAGCACTTAGCAATACTGAAATAAACTTTTAAGCAGTCACAAACACTTTGTGTTGTAGATTTATATAATAAAAATTGAATAGGGGAGATCCCCAGAAGACGTTGTAAATTAAAGCCAAACAAAAATTTAATGTGAAAATCGTAGGGTCGGATTATAGAGTCAGTTTATATGAGTGTATTGAAACTGAAACTATTCACACACCCACTATCATCGACTTACGCACAATTCAATCTACAACAAAAGTTCTGGAATCAATAAAAATTATAATGACTTTAAGGTACAAAACCAATTCTAAACGAAGTCGAACAATAAGCGAAAACTAGATATCAAATGATATCATTTTCCTGATAGCGGAACTCATAGAAACTATTATATTCTTAGACAAAATACTTGACACATACATATCATGTGCAATATACATGCATCTTGTTTAACAATGCACACGGTATATAGCTGCATTGTATATTTTTCGTGTGTTGTCAACCTAATGAATGTTGGTAAAATACATCATTATGCTATTGCACACCTACGAACAAACGTTGGTGACATCATTAAATTTAAAACTTAACTCTTCATGGACGATGAGCCAGTAGTATAAAGTTTGAAGTGTGGCATTTGGAGTATGATTTCGTTACAGTGAATGCTGAAGATTAAACTGAAATTCTAATTTGTAGGGTGCAAGAAAATGTATGCGATGCAAACCATTATATCTAGCTTATCCTTAATGGAAGCTTTATTGCTGTATGTTATTGAGGGGAAGTCATTATTGTCAAACTACGTGATCAGTAAATGCACAAAGTTGAAACATAATTCAAATTTCCAGACTTCAACATTTACACCTCACACTTCAAACTTCAGAAATCAATGTACACACTAAACACTATGATGTGTGAAGCCTGATATCTGAATGTCACTACTGGTGTTTCGTTCAAACGTTATACTTACTTTTCAGCACTACCACTAACTATATTGGCACCGTCTAATTCTTTTAAAATAGCGACAATCTGACGGTTAGTCTTCAGCGGAAATTCTTGTCCTGCGAGGTTGATGTAGTATTTCCAATTCTTATATAGCCAAAGCGTTTTCATGCAAGCCAATTCTGCCTTTATTAATGAAATATTTCCCCATTTCACATCAATGGATTCATTTGCAATTAACACATTTGATAAGCAATTTGCAATATTTCTTAAAGTTCTTTTGTCATTCTTAGACATCTTAGAATCTATATGAAGGCAGTAGAAGTTATGAGGCCTGTATATTAAACGTAAAAGACGTTCTGTCAACTCAATGTCTGTATAGGTCAGTAATGAAAATGCAAGAGGAAAATCATATTCATCTTCAGACATGGGATGATTAATATAACCCCTTTCATGCCGAAATTTAGAACAATTTCTTGTAATATTCAAATAAAACGTTGTTGTTAACTTCTGTCTTTGATGTTCTAAATTTCTCATTAATCTTTTAGACTTTGTTATCTCATTTTGATCATTTTTTACAATCTTAAGACAATTTACTCCATCATAATTTTTTATCCTTTGATAGTTTTTCATGTACACATATTTTCGAAATTCAACGATCTCTTGATTTTTAATTTTGTGTTGACTGCTTTTTTTAAAACTTTGTATTATATCTACATTCCGATCAGCTCCGGAGGAATTCCTTATTGGTTCAGTGTTAATCCTATTGACGTGTTTTGAGAATTCAGAAATCTTTTTCAAATCATCATAGTTTCTTTTTCTCTCTTTTAACCTTTTTGCAGTATTTAATTGAACTTCAGCCGTTGTATTGACGGGGTCATGATTAGTCAGATTCACATTCTTTCGTTTTTCGCTATCATTTTCACCTTCCAACTGTCGTCTTGTTATTTCCTTCATTACAGACCGATTCTGATCACCATATAATCGTTTTGATGGTATCATTTCAAAGACATGTAAGCAGAAGAACACTAAAGTGATGGAACATAAAATTTTAAAGATAGCAGAATAGTTTTTCTGTCTTGATATATTCCAGGTTTTCATTTGAGTCAGTTAAATGAATAAAACACGAAACACTCAATTTTAAAGGAAGCTGAATAGTTTTTCTGTTTTGATATATTCCAGCCTTTTTGAGTCATTTAAATAAGATAAAGACGAAATATTAAATGTATTAAAGTTAAAGCAGGGAAATGTGATCGGATACTACACATGTTGTATTGAAGTTCTGAGGCTATTTTTTAATTGATTATGTAACAGCTTTGAATACAAATATGTAACAGTTAAGTTTAAAATATTTTTTATGAGATAGGATTCTCATAAACGGGGGAAATATGTGGATAGAATATACAAGGTATCGTGTTTATCTTTGATTATTTAATACAACTTAACTTCGGTTTTATGATAACTGCATTTGAATATTGTGTAAATAGTTAGCTTCAAAATGAATCAGAGTCAAATATTTACATTTTTGATTAATTTGATACAAAATGAATAAAGGGTTTTATTTTAATTCACCATGCATACATTCTTTTTAAACTTTTATTCATTGTCCAATGGCTTGAATTTGAGAATACATTGTGATTCATTTTTATAAATGAAGATCACAAAAATAACAAATGATCTTGGAGATTTTGTTAAACATGTAAAAATATCTTAAAAGGAAGCAAGGAAATAACAAAAGTACAGGAAAATTGCAGATTCGGTTGATTGTGTCTTTCCATAAGGGATAATGAAAAACGTGAAACGTTAAACCACGTTTACTAGCAATGGCTTAATCTGTATTCAATTTTCAGCACTTAAAGTGCTGGAATCAATATGACAACAATGACGTGATGTAAGGGGCTGCAGGTTAGGCAAACAATCAAGCCGGTGGCCGAGTGGTTAACTCGTTGGACTAGTAAACTAATGATTGCTGGCCGCGTGGGTTCAAACCCCGTCTGGGACAAACCGTTGTCTTCTACGATGATACCATCAATCGAAAGAACAACTACATGGCTTACAATTGACCAATTCGACAAGTTACGAATGAAAACTGTACACAAATTATGATAAAAAATGAAATAGAAAATTAGAGCTGAAAAGTCTCAAAGGAAACCAGATTTTCAAGGAAAAATCTTACTTCAGACTTTTACTAAAATAGTACACGTAACTGCTCTGTGATTCGTGACACGAGAAGCTGTTTATATACAGCAATCACAAAAACAACATATATTTTCAGCTGCATTTTAAGTACATGTATATACTGACATTGAACAAGTTGAAAGACTTTTAAGTATCATGTATAGACCTCAAAAAACTACTATTGCATTCATATATATAGGAGAGTAAATAGCTTTAAGACACATTTCAAATTGTTTCAAAAATGTGTTTATTACAAAAGACAGTATGAGAGGAGTTTACACCATTTTAAGCAGAACATGAATTTATGAACATTTTATGGTTATTTTTCAAATGGAAGTATCACATCAATTTATCAGGGCAGGAATTTCATTGAATGACAAACCATCAAATTGTTTCAATCCTAAAAGAACTAAACGGTGCAAATATCGTCAAAGGATCATGAAGAAGGTATAGGGTTTTTTTTACTTTTACGAATACGAATTAATTTTATCTGAAAACTTCATTATTTTTAGTACATAGAAACACAATGTCATAACTGAAACGTTTTGAGTCTGTTCAGAGCTGTACCATTTATCGTTAGTGCCGGATACACAATATTATTTATCTTTCGTACCAAATACACGAATACACAATACCATTTATCTTGAGTTCCCACTATACACTATATCATAAATAATTAATACCGTATTTAATGTACCGTTTAATGGGGTTTATCATAAGTCCCGAATACACAATACCCAAATCATAAGTACCAAACTCACTGTATCATTTCTCATAAGTAAAGAAAACACTTCATTTCATATCCTATAAAATATAACAAATTCACTTAAGCATTTAAACTACGCCATGTTCCAATAGAAATAATTATTAGATATAATCTCGTTTTCATTTCCAGAGTCCAAAATGTCTATATCAAATCCATATCGTACCCGTTATATTTCAGAGTCCAAAAGGTTCATATCAAATCCATATAGTGCCCCATCTAGTCTTGATTTCAATTTTTGTGAGTTCAAAATCCATATTAAACATTTATTGTAATTTAAGTAATTGTAATCGCTAGCGCCACGTTCAATATAGTTTTGACAGCTCTGTACCCGTCGAAGAGAATTCAGCATTTCAACTTAACAATGTATAATAAGCTCTTTATCAAGAAGATTGTTTCAACTCCTTTTTCAGAGGGAGGAAAGTTTCAGATAGCCTTTATAATTTTTCGGAGATTGTTCCGCCGCATAAGATCCAAACTCTTGTAGGATCAATGAATATTAGATAACTTGTTGATTTCTGCATACACGACAAAAGAGCAAAGGAATTCACAGAATGGCTCATTGGGACAAAGGTTCTTCGAATTATAATCCACATCTTGGAATACCGGGATCATTTCTTGATAAGTAAGAAAATATAGAATTGTAACTAATATAGCTATTCCATGAGTAGAAAAACTTTTCGCAGGGTATATATCCCGCTCATTTATGAAAATAACGAAAAGAATCGGCGACCCCAGACACCCTTGTTTGAGGCCCACTGGGCAGTTAAATGGTTCTGATAGACCAACACATGTTCTTACTCGCTCTTTAACAGAATTATACATCCAATACATAGCTTGCAGAAGTTTGCTACTAAACCCGTTGTTAGTACAGTCAGTCCACAATTATCACGTCTGATTAAGTTTTAGGGGGCGTGGACGGTAACTTGCACTTTCCAGTACCGTCCATGAACAGGCTCAATCAAACCGAGCCTGCAACATTTTCAATTTTGCCGTGTTGGGCTTTCTTTAGGGATTCTATATTTATCTATATTATGATCACATCCGTGTTATTTGTGCCGTGTGGCGGCTGTAAAAAGTCTCCCCGTACATTTAATCAATGATGTTATATTTTCGATCCTTGAAGATCGTTCAGCACGACATTATTGTTGTGCTTGTGGTATTTTTAGTTTCAACTTTTCGGCATTTTCCACTTGGGTGGTTCCAATATTCCTACTTGAATAATGTTGAATCACCCTTAGGATATGTTGCCTGCTTTTTAAATTTGTCTTTTGACGTCTTATCTGTGATACGCAGGCTTCATAACCTCTGATCCCCTTTCAAAATTCCATTTTATTTAGTTCCGCCCATTGTTTTCTCGTTTAGGGCACACGCTTTTTATTACTTGGGGACCATACGCCGCTTTTCGTGGAATGGCACGGAAGTGTCACATTGAAGGTTCCATGATAAACGCCGTATGAACACATCTGCGGATGTTTCTAAATTCAAAATTTTACTATTTCACGTTTAAATGTTGAATTCTGCTTAAGCCGGTGCTAGGGGGCGTGGACGGTAACTTGCACTTTCCAGTACCGTCCATGAACAGGCTCAATCAAACCGAGCCTGCAACATTTTCAATTTTGCCGTGTTGGGCTTTCTTTAGGGATTCTATATTTATCTATATTATAAAATCTACGTATGCAACATATAGACGATCGCCTGGTCTTAACATCTGTTTGAAAATTATGGAAAGCAATTGCATTGGTTATAGTTAAGTAACCCTCCCTGAATCCATCCAGAATGTGGATCATGTTTTGCTTTGTTTTTCCCTCGTATGCAGTTACGTAGAAGTTAATTCTTAAACAAGCGTTTAAATGAGTCAAAAGTTTTAAAAAACATTTTTGAACGAAATATTTGTCCATGCCCTGTTAGCGTGTAAGAATACATTTTTCCGTTATCAATCTGTTAAGCGCTTTGCTGGGCAGGCAAAATAGATTGATTGAATTCATTTTAAATTAATAAATAAATTGCCTGAGACTTTTTAGTCATTTTTTATCAATATAAATGTATATTAAATGACATGGCATCTGCGCATCTGAACAAGAACTGTCAATATTTTTTTATTGTTTAGACATTATATCATTAAAAGAAGTGGGGTTCGGGGCGGTAGATGTCCATTTATGTTGGCGATTGTTTATTAAATTGGTCAATTTCGAACCTGATTATAACTATCAAGTCGTGGGTGAAGTTTACAAATAAACTACCGATATCTCTCCTCTACCAATATCTACCGACTGTGTTAACTATTACGTGTTTTACCAATACTGTAAGTGATTTACAAGACCGCTTAAAAGAGCCGGAAGGTAACCTTTGTAACAAAAATAGTAAGGCAAGAGCTGATTGAAATGAAAATTATTGAGATGTGAATATATTTGCTATAAAAAATAAAATGATTTTTTTTCGAGCATTGTTGAGCTTTCATAATTCCATACGAAATTCGTTTAGTATCATTAACTTTACTAGTTTCATGTTAACTATGTAATAACAATTATGTAAATGATGGGAATAAAGAACTAAATCATAAGAATAAGAAATACCCATTTTTATTCAAGCATTGATGCTTTAAACAACTGAATCATTAGTAATAGTCAACACTGGAAGTATAAAAACTTTGAAAACTTTGAAATTAAACAAAATAGTAAGATTAAAGTGAATTGGTCCATAAAAGGTGGTCTGTAAAACTATACAAGTTATGACGATATAATTTAGTATCACATATAGCAAATTATTACATAGTCATGATATCTAAATGCTGTCAGTAAGTGTGAGAAAGATCATCCGATATTACTTATCTATCAATTGAAAATGATTAATGTTCTATAACAAATTATTATTATTATTTATCACATACAGGACATGTGTATACTAAATCACTTATAACTCTGCCAACAGTTCTTAATATTCTATAAACAAAAAATATACAAATGTACAAACAAATAATTTCTATTGATTTATTAATATTTGAAATTCTTATGAAAAAAAAAACGTTTTGTTTTTTTGTAGAAGAAACCCCTTAAAGACCTCAAGACACTTGATTGGAAAAAGACTTGCTCGGACTAGTTCTGCTTGTCAGTCTTGCCGTCCATCGAACTTTCAGTTGTAACTTTGCGAAATCTAATGCCTTGTAATAACTTGTATCGACTCGCAGGTTTTTCAGATACTCTTCCCGTGTTTGTTCTTCTTCTAAGCAGTAGAGTGTTAAATGTTCAAAGTCAAGATTAAATTCATTTACAAATAATTCTTTACCATGGTAAGCTTTGTGTAGGTCTTCTTCTCCAATTATGCATAATATATTTTCCTCTGCATCGATCAATACTAGAGTATTTCCAGATAATGAAACGTAGAGAAAGATGTTAAATTCGTTTGTCTCCGCCTTGACTTTAAATTACAGTCCGACCCCGGTTATTCGACAACCCATTATTCGAATACCCGGCATTATCCGAAGTAGATCGGCGGTCCCGTTTTTATCTCTATATAAATCAATATAAATACGAGCGTATTATTCGAAATGCATTATCCAAATACCTCCTATTTTTCGAAGTAAAATTTCGGTCCCGATTATACAATTATGAAAGAATTTCACACCTATTATTCGAAGCAAGCCTAATTATTATTCGAAGCCAGACTAATTGGCGCAGATCCACTCGCTGACCGGGCGACTTGTGAAAAATATCAACAGTCATGCGTGTATTTAGACAATCATGATAATAACTCTTTGTGTGTTCTTTAATCAGCTTTAATTACCGAAAATGAAAAGCAATGCACCGTGTTCGATTTTGTAACTGTTATTGCAATAATTTTCATACATACAGTATATGTAAATTTGTCAAAACATCCAAAACATTTTTTTTTCATTAATTGTAACGCTACATGAGAGTCTGTATCCTAATCGAAAATACCAGAGTTTAGCTGTAAATACCGTAGTGACAACACGGCCATTATCAAGGCTTTGCGCGAAACGAAACGATACATAATGTAGAATAAAATGCAAGTATTTATGTTTTTAATGTCAATACAACAATCTTTTCTTTAATATATTTTTCTCAATTGATTACAGGAAGTAAGTGTGTTGTAAAAGGTAGTTTTGCTATGATATTAGTCTAAGTGGGGTAGTTTTCGTCTATCACAATATTCCGATTTCGATTATTCGAACCCACCGATTATTCGAAGTAAATATTCAGTCCAAGGCACTTCGAATAAACGGGGTTGGACTTTAGTTATACATTGAACTGATAACATTTGTGCTCTTAAATAACAATTAAGGTTTAATTGTTTTGTCAGAAACGAAGATATCACATGTTCATCACACTTTCAGTTGTAACTTTGCGTAATCTAATGTCCTGTAATAACTTGTATTGACAGGCAGGTCTTTCATATACTCTACCCATGTCTTTTCATATAACACTTCTTCTAAGCAGTCTAGTGCTATATGTTCAAAGTCAAGATGAAATTTATTTACAAATAATTCTGTACTATTGTAAGCTTTGTGTAGGTCTATTAGTCCGATAATGCACACTTCTCTAACAAATTTTCCATTGCATGGTATACGACCAGGATATTGCCAGATAACGTAACGCAAAAAGTATGGTTTTAAATCGTATGCTTCCGCCTTTCCTTTAAAAAATTATTAAAAGTATCATCAATTATTCGTTATAAAACTTATGTATATTTTGTTTTTATAATAAACCAATAATAAACAAAATTGTCAATAAGCCGAGTAAAAATCCATCGAAAGACAACAACATACTTTATTTTAATTTATCTATTCGAATATTTATACTGTGCATAAGATTGCTTTTGTATAATACATATAGAGAATAAAGAAATAAAACAGACTTGTAGATAACTATATGTGGAATGTTTCAAGATATAATCAATGTTAGATGGCCTTACATATTAAAGATACTCATATCGATATTCTTTCATTTATTGAACTTTTCGTAAAACGAGACATTTTAGATCATGATTTTTTTTTTTTTCAAAAATTAAATATGAAGTCTTTTTAATAAATAATTGTTAAATCATAAATTATAATACTTACAAAACCTACTTTTTTGAATTTTTAACTTACCTGTAAAAGAACCTTTGATTCCTAGATGTGGGTTATGGTTCAAGGATGAAAAGTAAAACTCATCTGGTATTTTAGTTTGCTTTAACCAAACTAAAAAGTCAAGAGACCTTTGATCATGAAGACAGAAATCAACAAAATATCTGTTAACAGCGACATGCATGGATCCCTTAGCAAGTGTAATATTATGAGGTGGGGGTGACTTAGCCATTTTATATCGTTTTGCAAAGACAGTCCTTGCTCTGAAAATAAAGAATAAAATACTTGAAGACGATAAACAAATCTTTTGGAACATTCACATAATATTTGTAAAGGTACACTGGATTGTCTTACAAAGAATTTTATAGTGTTCTATTGGAAACTTCCAAATGCATTCGCGTGTATATATATTGTCTTTGGAACCATTTAGCGTGAAATTAAAATAAATCGACGTGTTAGGACCTTTGATATATGATTACAAAGTCAACAAAATAGTTCTTTTAAATTTTGAAGTCATCCGTGGTGTAGCAATTTACATTCAAAGTATGTATTTTGTTATTTTGTACATGAAGTGTCATTTCTGATTAAGGTTGGTTTTTGTGTATCTTTGCAGGGTGGAAGGTTTTAGGAAGTATTATGTACCAAAATACAGCTTAGTTGTTATATTGATTATTTAACAATTATTACACAAGTAAAAACCTGCAGAAAGTCACCAATGGCTAATGTATTATTTTTGTGCAAATTTTACTTGGATGCATCGAATTCCATAATTACAAATGTATTCTCAATCGTATCTGTGTTGGTCAAAATCAGCACATAGCAATACTGAAATAAACTTTTAAGCAGTCACAAACACTTTGTTAATCAAAATTGAATAGGGGAGATCCCCAGAAGACGTTGTAAATAACAGCAAACAAAAATATAATGTGAAAATCGTAGGGTCGGATTATGGAATCAGTTTATATGAGTGTATTGAAACTGAAACTATTCACACACCCACTATCATAGACTTACGCACAATTCAATCTACAACAAAAGTTCTGGAATCATTAGAAACTATAATGAATTTAAGATACAAAAACAATACAAAACAAAGTCGAACAATCGGTGACAACTAGATATCAAATGACATTATTTTCCTGATAGCGGAACCCGTAAAAGGGCTTTTATTTCTTAAAACCAAAATCTTGCACTTTCCCTTATCTTTATTTAAATAAAGTCCCCAAAATACATGTATCTTTTTTTACCAATACCCCACTTTTAATAAAAAGCAAACATTGTATTTTTTTTGTGTTTTTGTCAACATAATGAATGTTGGTAAAATAAATCATTATGTTATTGCACACCTAAGAACAAACGTTGGTGACATTCAAATTTAAAACTTCACTCTTCATAGATGATGAGCCAGTAGTATAACGTTTGATGCGTGGCATTTGGGGTATGGTTTCTTTACAGTGAATACTGAAGATTAAAGTGATATTTTGATTTGTAGGGTGCAAGAAAATGCATGCCATGCAAACCACTATATCTAGCTTATCCTGAATGGAAGCTGTATTACTGTATGTTATTGAGGGGAAAGTCATTATTGTCAAACCGCGTGATCAGTAAATGCACAAGGTTGAAACATAATTCAAATTTCCAGACTTCAACATTTACACCTCACACTGCAAGCTTCAGAAATCTATGTACACACTAAACACTATGATGTGTGAAGTCTGATATCTGAATGTCACTACTGGTGTTTCGTTCAAACGTTACACTTACTTTTCAGCATTACCACTAACTATATTGGCACCGTCTAATTCTTTTAAAATAGCGACAATCTGACGGTTGGTCTTCAGCGGAAATTCTTGTCCTGTGAGATTGATGTAGTATTTCCAATTCTTATATAGCCAAAGAGTTTTCATGCAAGCCAATTCTGCGTTTATTAATGAAATGTTTCCCCATTTCACATCAATAGATTCATTGGCAATAAACACATTTGATAAGCAATTTGCAATATTTCTTAAAGTTCTTTGGTCATTCTTAGACATCTTAAAATCTATATGAAGGCAGTAGAAGTTATGAGGCCTGTATATTAAACGTAAAAGACGTTCTGTCAACTCAATGTCTGTATAGGTCAGTATTGAAAAAGCAAGAGGAAATTCATATTCATCTTCAGACAGGGGATGATTGATGTAACCCCTTTCATGCCGAAATTTAGAACAATTTCTTGTAATATTCAAATAAAACGTTGTTGTTAACTTCTGTCTTTGATGTTCTAAAATTTCTCATTAATCTTTTAGACTTTGTTATCTCATTTTGATCATTTTTTAAAATCTTAAGACAATTTACTCCATCATAATTTTTTATCCTTTGATAGTTTTTCATGTACACATATTTTCGAAATTCAACGATCTCTTGATTTTTAATTTTGTGTTGACTGCTTTTTTTTAAAACTTTTTATTATATCTACATTCCGATCAGCTCCGGAGGAATTCCTTATTGGTTCAGTGTTAATCCTATTGACGTGTTTTGAGAATTCAGAAATCTTTTTCAAATCATCATAGTTTCTTTTTCTCTCTTTTATCCTTTTTGCAGTATTTAATTGAACTTCAGCCGTTGTATTGACGGGGTCATGATTAGTCAGATTCACATTCTTTCTTTTTTCGCTATCATTTTCACCTTGTCGTCTAGTTATTTCCTTCATTACAGACCGATTCTGATCACCATATAATGGTGTTAATGGTATTATTTCAAAGACATGTAAACAGAAGAACACTAAAGTGATGGAACATAAAATTTCAAAGATAGCAGAATAGTTTTTCTGTCTTGATATATTCCAGGATTTCATTTGAGTCAGTTAAATGTATAAAACACGAAATACTCAATTTTTAAGGCATCAGAATAGTTTTCCTGTTTTGATATATTCCAGCCTTTATGAGTCATTTAAATAAGATAAAGACGAAATATTAAATGTTCAATGTATTAAAGTTAAAGCGGGGAAAGGTATTAGGATACAACACATGTTGTATCGAAGTTCTTAGGCATTTTTTAATTGATTATGTAACAGCTTTGAATACAAATATGTAACAGTTTAGTTCAAAATATTTTTATAAGATAGGATTCTCATAAACGGGGGATATATGTGGATAGAATATACAAGGTATCGTGTTTATCTTTGATTATTTGATATAACTTAACTTCTGTTTATGATAACTGCAATTGAATATTGTGTAAATGGTAAGCTTCAAAATGAATCTGAGTCAAATATTTACATTTTAGATTAATTTGATACAAAATGAATAAAGGGTTTTTTTTTAGTTCACCATGCATACATTCTTTTTAAACTTTTATTCATTGTCCAATGGCTTGAATTTGAGAATACATTGTGATTCTTTTTTATAAATGAAGATCACAAAAATAACAAATGATTTTGGAGATTTTGTTAAACATGTAAAAATATCTTAAAAGGAAGCAAGGAAATAACAAAGTACAGGAAAATTGCAGATTCGGTTGATTGTGTCTTTTCATAAGGGATAATGAAAAAAGTGAAACGTTAAACCACGTTCACTAGCACTGGCTTAAGCTGTATTCAATTTTCAGCACTTAAAGTGCTGGAATCAATATGACAACAATGACGTGATTTAAGGGGCTGCAGGTTAGGCAAACAATCAAGCCCGTGGCCGAGTGGTTAACTCGTTGGACAAGTAAATGATTGCTGGCCGCATGGGTTCAAACTGCGTCTGGGACAAACCGTTGTTTCATTGAACGAGAAACTTTGCATGCATTGCTTAGTACTGGTTGGTTTCAGGACCAGATTTGGGAGTGTTCCAATAAGCTTATTGCGTCTGACACAATCGAACTATAATAAATTTATATAAACTTTACTGACAGACAGGAAAGATTACAATTTGAGCATATTTCTCTGAATACTTCTTTACAGTTGATGATAAGAGGTACCGGTATTACAGGCATTAAACTCATAAAATCTCGTCAATTTTAGCTAAAACTACAATTGTTCCGATTTTTTTTTACCATCGGTTTGATTAGTACTTTATAGTGATATTTTTTGATTATATGTGAACTTGTAAAACACAGAAGACTGCTTTTAAAATCTTGTTTTTCCCACATGTTATAATAAACCGATGAACAAATTTATCTTATGTATGCATATTGAACAAATAAAGTTTTACGAAGATACTCTCAAGTCCAGACATAATATAACTGCTAAGAACTATTATCTAACATTCTATGTTTAAGCACAGTATGCCGAGTTATCGATATGGGGAAAAGTGAACAATATGACATGAAGGTAAAATCGCAGGGAACACATACGTTGAGTATAAATATACTTTTTATTAGGACTCAATGCATATTATATCAGAATTCAGAAATCACATGTACCTGTTTTATTATCTTTTTACAGACACACTTTCATTGACCATGTTAATGATACGACCGTGCTGAATCTGATATCTTAATGAGAAGCTGTTATCATCAATAGATGGCTGTCTACAGTGTGTGCTTGTCAATATTGGGTATTTTAGCACTTGATATCTTCTTTGGCAAAAATTAAAAATATTCTACAAAAAGATAATGATTACAATAGCACAGTTGCAATAGCGAAGAATTCTACGATGATGCCATCAATCGAAAGAACAACTACATGGCTTACAATCGACCAATACGAATAAAAACTTTACACAAATTATGCTAAAAAATGAAATAGAAAATTAGAGCTGAAAAGTCTCAAAGGAAATCAGATTTTTAAGGAAAAAAATTACTTCAGAATTTTACTTTAATAGTACACGTAACTGCTCTTTGTTTCGTGACACGAGAAGCTGTATATATACAGCAATCACAAAAACATGAATTTTCAGCTGCATTTTAAGTACATGTATATACTGACATTGAACAAGTTGAAAGATTTTTAAGTATCATGTATAGACCTCAAAACTACTATTGCATTCACATATATATAGGAGGGTAAATAGCTTTAAGACACATTTCAAATTGTTTCAAAAAAGTGTTTATTACAAAAGACAGTATGAGAGGAGTTTACACCATTTTAAGCAGAACATGAATTTATGAACATTTTATAGTTATTTTACAAAGGGAAGTATTACATCAATTTATCAGGGCAGGAATTTCATTGAATGACAAACCATCAAATTGTTTCAATCCTAAAAGAACTTAACGGTGCAAATATCGTCAAAAGATCATTAAGAAGGTATAGGTTTTTTTTTACTTTTAGATACGAATAAATCTGAAAACTTCATTATTTTTAGTACTTAGAAACACAATGTCATAACTGAAACGTTTTGAGTCTGTTCAGAGCTGTACCATCGATCGTTAGTGCCGAATACACAATATCATTTATCTTTCGTACCAAATACACTATATCAAAATACTTAATACCGTATTTAATGTACCGTTTAATGGGGTTTATCATAAGTCCCGAATACACAATACCATATATCATATGTACCAAACTCACTGTATCATTTCTCATAAGTAAAGAAAACACTTCATTTCATATCCTATAAAATATAATCAATTCACTTAAACATTTGAACTACGCGATGTTCCAATATAAATAATTATATAATATTTAATAATTATTAGATATAATCTCGTTTTTATTTCCAGAGTCCAAAATGTTTATATCAAATCCATATCGTACCCGTTATATTCCATAGTCCAAAAGGTTCATATCAAATCCATACAGTACCCCATCTAGTCTCGATTTCATTTTTTGTGAGTTCAAAATCCATATTAAACATTAATTGTAAGTTAAGTAATTGTAATCGCTAGCGCCACGTTCAGTATAGTTTTGACAGCTCTGTACCCGTCAAAGAGAATTAAGCATTTTAACTTAACAATGTATAATAAGCTCTTTATCAATAAGATTGTTTCAACTCCTTTTTCAGAGGGAGGAAAGTTTCAGATAGCCTTCATAATTTTTCGGAGATTGTTCCGCCGCATAAGATCCAAATTGTTGTAGGATCAATGAATATTAGATAATTGTTGATTTCTGCATACACGACAAAAGAGCAAAGGAATTCACAGAATGGCTCATTGGGACAAAGGTTCCGGAGGAAATCATTTTTTCTTCTTTGAATTATAATCCACATCTTGGAATCCCAGGATCATTTCTTGGTAAGTAAGAAAATATAGAATTGTAACTAATGGGCTTATTATATAGAGTGTACTTTTCTTAAATTGCAATAATTACATATATCTGTTTGTTCAGTATAAGTTCGAAATATGATACTAAATAAAATACTTCACCAGTATCGTACCCTTGAGAAAAATTTAAGCAGCTAATATTCAAGACTTAAAGAGAAGTTGATAGTAAATGTGAAAGAAAAAACATGCCCTAAATGTGTAGTGCATTTTAGGGATATTGTCATCAATTCATGATGGAATACAAATTCAAAAGATTATTTTTTGCAACACGTTAACAAGGAGTAAACAAATGTTTATGATTAATGATTTACATTTCAACTATGGATTATGCGTTTGATTAAATTTTCATTTAATTCTGAATTTTTATATGAAATCAAATTTGGAAAGTGTCACTAAAGATTATCAAATACAATATATAATTAATTGTTATATTTAAGTTGTGTACTAAAACCCATTCAATGAAAATATAATTTGATTGTATGCATTATTAATAACAGTAAATATATATTCTAGTGGTGATTAAAACAGTGGGTGGATCCTATATGGAAATTAAATCTAAAAATAATTATATATCGATATTGATATATTAGCAAAATAAAAGCTATTTACAGAAAATTAATATTTTATGAATAGTTTATTCCTTGGATTTTGGCTATGTCATTTAAAATTAAGTAAATGAAAGAAATAATAGCAATTGGAATTTGAATATTACATATGTACAAAATAAAAAAACATGTCATTTTTACTTAATATGAATTGTGTATATAAGCAGAGACCTATTGCTTGGAGCCATTCTTCATTCATGTTTCCCCACATGTTCCTAGTGTGAGATATTGTCATGTAAACCTATTATGGAGAATTAAATGCATATTTTGCACTGAAAACTTGTACAGGGCTTACAAAAGCTTTGCTTTATTTGCTTACCAATTTGATATGCACTATGATCCTGTAGCTCTGTACAGTTGAGAGGTATATCTTTAAATTGTTTCTGGGTATTGGAAACCGTATACGTAACATGAAGTGTGTTTAATTATCATACGTGAAAAATTTGTTTATAAAAGTTTGTCTTTTGACAACAAAATTGATTTTAAAGTGCATTCTCAAACAAATAACAAGTTACACACTGACGGGAAAACATGCAGAATAAATGTGCAAGTATTACGTCTCTGGTGGCAGAATTCATTGTGTTTATCTCACTGTTAAATATCCAAATCTGGTATGAACATTAAGGGGATATATAAATGGAAAGGATGAAATGTTGATGGAAATATTCAAATTGATTGAACTTTGAAACAACTATGGCAACAAATGATATAACTGTTCTTTGTAAAATCGTAAAATATTTACCGTTTATGGTCACAAGAGAAGACTTATGTAAATTATCAATTATTTTGCTCATTTCTATATTTTCACAGTCTATTTGGTATCTTAAAGAACAAATATACTTTGAAAAAGCAACCGATATTTTCTCACAGAAATTAAGTCGAAAAACGTTTGACGTAGAAATAAGCAAAGAGAAAACAATTGAGTTAGCACAGGACGCAAAGTACCGAAACGACATTTTTACAAAATACTACCGACCAATCAGAAATTCAGATGGTGTTAATTGCTCAAAACTTATACATAATGACAGATATGAGATATTAAAAGCAAAGACAATAATGAATTCTGGTCATAACGCGAAATTATATCTTAACTCGGACTTTTTCTTAAATATAACGCGTAGCTGCTCTTTTTTTCGTAACATGAGGGGGTATATACAGCATCCCCTTTCAGAAGAAGAACGTACATTTCCCATTGCTTTTTCTATTCTTGCTTATACTGACATTGAACAGGTGGAAAGACTCCTGCGTCTAATTTACAGACCTCAAAATTACTATTGTATTCATATAGATCTCAAGATGCGTCCAGCAGAAAAAACAGCTTTAAAAAACATTGCCAGTTGTTTTAAAAATGTGGTTATTGCTAAACAATCAGTTAATGTCACTTGGGGAAATTTCTCACTCTTACAAGCAGAATTAGTGTGCATGGAAACACTGTGGCCTTTTAAAGCTTGGAAATATTACATGAATCTGGCTGGACAAGAATTTCCTTTGAAAACTAATCGTTATATTGTGGCAGCTCTCAAGGCTTTAGACGGGGCAAATATTGCGTCAGGAAAAGAAGTAGCGTAAGAGCCATTTTGTTTTAAAAATAGATGTATTTTTAACGTGGACTAACATTGCTATTTAAAGATTAAAATTAAAATTGTAATAGTATTTACTTTCTTGATGCAATGGAAGCTATGGTTCCAATTAACTATGTATTTTGTATTTGTACCAGATATATATTCAACAAGTAAACAGTTCCTTATATATGTTGTTTTTATTCATATGAATATGTTTTATCGATTAAATGCTTTTAGAAATATTCAATTTGTTCCCGCATTTTAGTATGATTTTACAATAAAAAAAGTTCAGGTTAATTATTTCTTTAATAAATGTACGAAGTTTTATCTTATTAGCTTCTTAACAGTTAAGCAATAGATATAACAAAAATGCATAATTTTTGAAATTCAGGAATACACCACAGTTGCAGGCTCGAATCGCTATGAAACAAACGCCTGCGCCCCATGGTATAAGGGTTACTTCTGGGTCAATGCATATTGCAGCCAATAGGTTCTTTGTCGATTTCTGTATTCATGATACAAGAGCACGTGACTTTTTAGAATGGTTGAAGTCAACACATATTCCGGATGAACTTTTCTTTTCTTCAATAAATTACAACCCACATTTAGGTATTCCAGGTACCTACCTTGGTAAGTACTAAAAAAATATGGTAGCTAGTGTTATGTATATAAGGTACTTCCCATTATTAGATATAATGATTATTTGTCGTGAACAGGCACACTCATACTGAACAGCTCATTTTTATCCGGAGGTCTCATATTTATACGATTTCTTTTTTTCTTTATTTCTTCAATTTCATTATCTTTTAAATCAATAATTGTATTCTTGTTTTATACCCTACAATATGACGAGATAAGCAGTTTCGTATTTAAATGGTAAACACAAGCTTGGGAATTATTTCATTTTATCACTGTAATGATTGAAGCGTTTTTCTCTTTTGACCTATATGACAACATATATGTTTCAGGTAAAGTTGCTGGGTCTCCACTTAGGAAATTATTTCTTCGTTATGTTATATGGCACGGGCAAAATAACAACATGTGTCGAGGATTTTTTGTCAGAAATGTGTGCATTTTAGGTGTTGAAGATTTATCAAAGGCTTACAGTGGTCTTCACTTATTTGCTAACAAGTTTCATCTAAATTTTGAGCATTTTGCACTGGACTGTTTAGAAGAAGTATTATATGAATTGACTTGGGGGGAATTTGTTGATGATATCCATATTAATGCTTCATATTACAAACGTTTAGATTACGTCACAAAGCAATTAAAAACTAACGGAACATATTCATAACTAACAATTGCTGATTAACGCCAAATCGTATTTGCAAATGTAAATGCACATATGCAAAATAAAATCGCGAAGAAACGACAAACTTTGACTTAGTATTCACATGTTTGCATTATCAAGGATAAAAAGTGAACGACTGACGAAAGAAAGGCGTGCTGTGTTTGTAATGTCGCAGCAAATATGAAAATATGCTAAACACAAAGATACGAAAAAGTCTAAGTTTGAAGTATTTTCGAATGTTTTTACATTGTTGCGATTTCCTTTTTTTTTCATTGTTACACCGTTGCATTTTGCGTTTGTTAGTACATGTACAAGGGCATGGGAACATTAAATGCAACGGTGAAAGCTTATAAAATGTGAAAAAATATAATTGTAATGGTTAACTTCATTATTCCTTTCGATAAGACATAAGACATATTTAAAATTTTCACATGCGTTACCTTAACGCAAAGATGCGACAAGGCATCACTAAAAAGAAGCGAAAATATAAAACACTGCGAAATAACAACAATACGACAATGCGCAAAAGCAAACAAATAGTATTGCCAAAAAGCGAAACAACGCAAAAGCAGTAACGAGAAATGGAATTATACGAACAAAAGAAAGAAGAAAAATGCAAAAACAGGTTGCATTTTATCAATAGTTTTTGCCTTATTTGTCATCTTTGTATTTACGCGGAATACGACATGGATTCCTACATCAATTGTTTAAGAAACTATTAAAGTATTACAATATCATCTCTAATTTATTCCATTTAATTTTATATACATATAGTTATAATATGACAAATTACATGTAATTAGAAGTAATACAGAATTTCGACTCAAAAATAACAATAAACAAATGAGTTTTCAATTTCAATTTTAAAGTGTGTATGCTATATTTTGTTAACTGGTTAATTAACTGTTTTCCATAAATCTGTACATACATTTATATTTTAAATCTAATTATAATAGTCCATCCTACCTATTGAAATACAATATAATGATTTCTAGTTTTTAGTACTAGATATTCAACTTACACGACATTTATATTGTATATATGGAGTCGCCATATGATATATATATATATTGTGTTGGTGCGAAGTAAAACCCAACCAAAAATGATGACATAATAATAATTTGGAATATGATTAAAAAATATGTTTTCATCTTATTAGATATATTGTCTTGCTTTGTTATTTATATATTTTTTAGAAAAATAAATGTTTATAGCTATATCAAACTATCTCTTTCTCTAAATTTTTCATTTACACATCTAGAAATGGGGAGATCCTTGGCAAGCATTGAACGTTGCAGACTCGGTTTAAATGAGTATAACATAACTCAAGGCCCTGTCACCAGATTAAACAGACACAAAATGTGCTGGGAACAATGATCCCAATGGAGAAGAGAAATGTAACAACAGTGTAGTGAAAGTATAGGAACACTTTTTAAACAGCTACCATACCTAATATAGTGAGGCATAGAATCTGAAAAAAGGTGATCCAATGAACGTTTGTAAAGTTTATCTAGTTGATTTCTTGTCATAATTTACGATTCTTATTATTATACATGTATCTGATATTCATAATATGTTCAAACACAATATATCATTGCAAAGCTGTTGTCAAGAGTGATTTTTTTTCATATTTTTATCTTTTTATTTTATGTTTGTTTAAGCGGCACGAATCTTATGAAATTCATTTTGATATCAGTTTAAAGATATTTTGCTAAACTTTTATTTGTATTTTTATTTCATGTTGCAAGTTATAAAAATTTAAGTGCATCAAAGAAAAAAACGAGAATAAAGATCAACAAGGCAAATGCAACGTTCACAGGATTCAATCCCCCGACACACTCAAGCAGGGCACCCAGAAAGCACCAAACCAAAACCGGGAGTTGACATAAGGGCGGCGAAAGGAAAGGTACAAGTAATGTGTGAAATAAAAAAAAACTTAAACGGGCCAACGTGGGAATTAAAGAGATAAGGGCTGTAAGGGTGAAAAAGGAGGGGGTAGCGCCAATCCAACAAGACAGACATCACAAAACATGGAAACATTCAAAACAGGTAACAATACAGACATGAAAAACACACTTTTGTTTTATTTAACTACGACGTTATTTATATTGTGACATCGCGGTAATTGTTTTCTATCAGGTTCGTGCCGTTGCTATATATATTGAGAGAAATAAAGAAGCAAGTATCTAGAGGGAAGCAAGTCCTGAAGCGCAGCAAGTAAAGAAGTACAGCATGTCAAGAAGCGCAGAAAGTCCTAAAGCGCAGCGAGTCAAGAAGCGCAGCAAGTCAAGAAGAGCAGCGAGTCTAGAAGAACAGCGAGTTTAGAATTGCAGCGAGTCTAGAAGTGCAGCAAGTCCCGAAGCGCCGCATGTCTAGAAGTGCAGCAAATCTAGAAGCGCAGCGAGTCAAAAAGCACAGCGAGTCAAAAAGCACAGCATGTCCAGAAGCACAGCATGTCCAAAAGCGCAGCAAGTCCTGAAGCGCAGCAAGAAAGGCATTAGTCCCTCTGTCAAACAAGTCCCTTTCAAGTCAGCTTAAGTAGTAGACCCACACACACTAACGTCTGACAGCTGTATGTAACTTCAGATATACTTGTAAAATTACTCTCAAATCACATTTATCAAGTTTTCATTTACAAATATTAATTAATATAAAACATTTCAGCAAAGAATTTTCATTTTTTATGGGCTTTATTTTGAGTCTTAACTTAGTATGCATAATATATAAACAAATTATATATAAATGATATATAGACCATTGTTTCATAAACATTTGTAAGTTTTGATTCTGCAATTATTATAAAACGTGACAGACACATGATATACTGTTGTTCGCTCACGCTCATTTATTCACCTTTGCCTTTTCCAGCTCTCAAGCAGTTATTTGCATCATATACAAACTTGCCAGTTGTTGCAAAAAAGTGGTAGCAAGACTTTATCTGTTTCTTGGATATCGATTTAAGAAAAACCGATGATTCGAATAGCCGCTATGACTTTAAAGTAAACTAACACATCTAGGCATTTTAATAATACATTTACACATAAATATCAGATATATTCATTACAAAACGTGAAAAATTAGTATAAAAATATATACACATGTAAATGATTACAGGAAACAGCCTTAAATATTACTTTAGTATAGTTTACAATGTTTTGTCTTATTATAAATGCTTCTCGTATCAATTTGCATAGTTCAATTACTACAGAATAGTTTACAGATTGCATAAGTTCTATAAATTTAACAACACTTGGTCTGTAAAAATAAAATTTGTTAATATAACGTTTTCGGATTTGATTGTATGATGACCAAATACAAATAAAATGATATTCATCGTCTATGTCACCACTGTTACAAATCGTACAGTGCCTCCTTTGGTTACGTTCAATTTGAAATTCTTTACTTTTACTAAAACCTAATATCTCGCTTGCATAATGTAACACGTTACATGTTAAATGGTTTGACATATGGTAGGTTTAACAGTTAACTTAAATACTTTGGTGTCAAAAGATGTGTTGAAGTATATACTGTGGCAAAGCTAAGATATTAGTGAAATAAATTTTAAAAGCGGACATTAAATTAAAACAAACTAGCGGTTTAAAAACTGTTTTATGTGTATTGTTTTAGCATAACCCATTACTGCAAAAATGGCTGTTTTCATTGAAAAGGCTCAATTTGCTATAAAAACTATAAAAGATGCTTTATTATTCACCAAACTTGGCACAAATGTTGACTGAACCATAGCCTTTGTAACATCATACTCAATCATAAATTTCCTGTTACCATGGGAACGAGGGGACATAAAAAAACTGCCAAAAATTACTATTTTGCGTTTATTTTTTTTTCTATCCAAACTGATTTCAAAGTGCGTGCTGCATCTTCTCAATGGATTGAGATATTGTCATAGACTTTTCAGCGTTGGTTACACGCTACCTTATAATTGACTTGAGACCAATTTAAGTCTCTCACAATTCCAAAATTTTCTTGTCGATGAGGGAGACTGCTGTCCCCTTCAAACTCCTAAGAAGAAGTTGCACATTCCCTCTGGCACCCCCTGATGTATCTTTCTGATATAGAGCAGTGTGAAAAATGTCATCAACTGATCTGCTGATGCCCGTTTAAATTAGAGAAAGGTTTATATAACTTTTTGGCCTCAATCGCCCTATAGATTTTAACGAAACTCTATAAAAATGATCATTTGGAAGTTTTTTTCTATAGTTGCTAAAATTGTACCGGAGAACTCAATAAAATAGCTGCCAAAGCTAAAAATGGGTCAACAACACATCTCCTCTTTAACTATCTGTTAAAAATTATTAGTTATGAAACAACATGCTTAAACTAAAACAATATTGCATGATTTTCTATAAAAAAAATCCCTAGATTGTTCCGGTCTGCAAAATGACTGTCAGACTGTCAGAGGTGAAAAAAGAAAATCCTGTAAACGATATCACCTTAACTTTTGATGAAATTATACATAAATGTTGGTAGGATGGCCGTCTTTAAAACCCAGAGCTAGAAATAGAAAATCGTTTAAAAGACATCTCCTCCTTTTAACTTTTGATGACACTATACATAAATGGTCGTTTGATTGACCTCTTTAAGAAATGCTCAAATGGTTCCAGTCTGCTGGTCAAGATTGCCGCCAGAGCTTTAAATAAAAACTGAACAATAATTCTAGTCACCATTTCAAATTTGTTCAGTGTAAATATACTTTGTTTAGAGACCATTTCGTAACAATCTTATGAACGTATCAATTCAACAAATTAATATTTTTAGTAAACCATCCCCTGCCCACTAAATTTGTAAAATTGTTTGTACCAATGTTCAGAAAACTCAACTTTTTTCACGTCAAACATTGGAGTTAAACAGGGAGATCCCAGTTCCAGTCTGATGTTCTTATTTTTCGTAAATGACATTCTTTTGAATATAAATAATAACATAGACGGCATCGACGTCAAATTATATGTATTGCTTTTTGCCGATGATGCTGTCATTTTTACAGAAACACCACATGCATTACAGTCAATACTTAATGACTTACAATTATACTGCGGTCTGTGGGATTTAAGAGTAAATACATCTAAAACAAAAATAATGATTTTCGAAAAAGGACGAAAAACAACGCATTCTTTCATTTTTAATAACGTAGTGTTAGAAATCGTGGATTCGTTCAAATACTTAGGAATAACCCTATCTAAAACGGCAACTGGAATAGAACACAAAAACACATAGCAAAACACTCTCTATATGCACTTCATAATTTACTTATCATTTATAAGCAATTGAATCTCATAAGAAAAATGTAACTTATTCGATAGTCTTGTTGGATCAATTTTGAATTATGGCTCAGAAATATTTGGATACCATAGTGCAAATGATATAGAAGTTATTCATAATAAATTCATGCGAAAAATATTACACGTTCGTAAAAGTACAAACCTTGTTGCATTATATGGTGAATTAGGAAGGTATCCTATGATGATAAAGCGTAAAATAAATTTAACTAGATTTTGGATACGAATATTAAAATCAGATGATAAAACATTACTTAAAATGACATACAATATGCTTAAAGATGATTGGCTTAATTGGGTCGGACATGTTCAACAAATTTTGGATGAAATAGGTACTAGTATGTCAAACATTTGGCTATCCAAAAATGCTGACATCGTATCTTTACAAATTATTAAACAAAGATTAATTGGTATATATAAACACTCATGGGATGCTGATATTAGAGCTTCAAATAGATCACAGTCATATAGCTGGTATAAGAAAGAATTAAAAGTAGAACGATATTTAAATGTAATACCAAATAGTAAATTTAAAATAGCACTGACAAGATTCCGACTATCATCCCATGATTAAATGATTGAAAAAGGAAGACATTTAAATATTCCCAGAAATGAAAGAATATGTTCAAATTGTAATATGAATGTTATAGAAAACGAGTACCACTTTCTTTTAGTATGCCCAAAATACACTAACTTAAGAAAAACCTACTTCAATCCATATTTTTGCCATTGGCCTACTAAGTAAAAATTTATCTCACTTATGAATTTAGACTCTGTTAAAAGTATTTTGAATGTCAGCAAATTTATATACAAAGCTTTCTATATGCAATAATTCTTCTTTACTCCAAAACGAATTTCATTATAATAACCTGATGTTTACTGCTTTGTTTTCTTTTAAACTTTTGTAAGTATTTTAAGTTAATGTAAACACAATGAAATTGATCTCAATATTTGAATTATTTTACAAAATGTATTCAATTAACACAAATGTTGCTCGTAACAAGAGAAAATATTCTTTGTCATATGTTTTACTATAGAAATGACACAACAGATAAATGATAATGATGAGAAATATTGATAAGGAAATACTTTAAAAATCAATTATGTTCACTCTGTTAAAAATAATTTAATATTAATTTGTATAAATCATTTGTATATAATTCTCTGTTAACCATGTACTTGCCCTTACATGTTTGTATTATATATTGAAATGGCTATAAATGTTGTAACATTTAATGCTGAATAAATATTATGTTATGTTATGTTTTGATAATGTAATCTTGAACTATCTACTCAGATGGGCGATTTAGGGCCATCATAATCCTATAACAACTTGCAGCTTATAAATATTTCAGACAGTCCTTATATTTTCATACGATTCAAAAATCAAATACGATCGCCATACGACCAAATACGGTTTAAGTATTGCTGACACGGTATATGCATCACACGGAATTAAGCCTCTACCTCAAATATTACGTGACAACGAAAACCACAACTACCTGCTGCCACCTTCAATTTAGATCTACCCAAAGTACTTTTGCTGCATCATACTAGAATGTATCCAAAGAAGAAGGTTCCCATGCAAACAAGGAATGCAAGAATGGCCATCCAGGCCCGCCGACAACTACAACCTTCTTCACCCTGCCGAGCCTGGTGAGCAGGGGGACTCACCAATGTCTATCAGTCTTATCATGATTTCTAATTCCCTTATCCTGTCATCTGTTGCATCTGGCATTGTTTTATATAACCAATATTCACATATATAGGTGTTCTTCGTTGAAAGTTTGAAAATGTACGAAGCCAAGCCATCAGAATGGGTCAATTTATAATAAAACATACACGAATATGTGATAATTCGAGCATAACTCGAACAAAAGTCGGCGGGACCCTATGTTAACCCTGTGAAAGTCGAGTAAATCGAGTAAAAGTCGTGTTAAATCGTACCAGGCCGTACTAGACCGTACTTGGAACCGTGCAACAATCGTATGTATTCTGATGCAAATCGTGTTCAAACCTTGCTTGACCGAGTATATCCGTCCTTTATTCGTACGTGCTCGTGCTTCATTCGAGTCTAACTCCTACCAACTAATCCCCAGGCACGGTTGGAGCTAAATACTCGTACCAGTCAATCCGTGTATAACCGAGTATACCGTATGGGAACCGTGTGCCCACCCGTGTTTTGTGTGAGACGGGCTTAAATGTTAACACAATGAAATGGATCTCAATATTTGAATTGTTTTACAAAATGTATTCAATTAACACAAATGTTGCTCGTAACAAGAGAAAATATTCTTTGTAATATGTTTTACTATAGAAATGACACAACAGATAAATGATAATAATAATGAGAAATATTGTTAAGGAAATACTTTAAAAATCAATTATGTTCACTCTGTTAAAAAATAATTTAAGATTAATTTGTATAAATCATTTGTATATAATTCTCTGTTAACCATGTACTTGCCCTTACATGTTTGTATTATATATTGAAATGGCTATAAATGTTGTAACATTTAATGCTGAATAAATATTATGTTATGTTATGTTTTGATAATGTAATCTTGAACTATCTACTCAGATGGGCGATTTAGGGCCATCATAATCCTCTTGCAGCTTATATTTCAGACAGTTTATATTTTATATAAAATAATGCATTTAGTATTGACTAATGCATGAATTAATGTACGTAACGACTTTTTTGGTCGGATCCAGCGAATAATCGACCTAAATAAAATTTTAGCAAGATAGTTTTGCGTAATTTATAGGATACAACCATTCAAATAAGGTAAACGGAACTAAAAAAATAAATGCAAGAAGAATTGGCTAAACCTTATTTGAATGATTAAGGAGGGACACATTTGACACAGACTAGCAAATATCGGATACTAACCCAGTTTCTCCAGACAGCATGAAAGAAACTAGTCAATATCTAGACAAAAAAACTCCATTTTCAAAAATAAAACGCACGTCAGCAAGGTAACATATGTATCTGTCAAGGTACGCATGCGGACGAAAGAAACGTACAATGTATTTAGACTTTTTTTCTCTATCAGTTATCTGTTATGATGCAGCTCAGCTCTTTAGTTTTTTTTTGTGTTGTAATCACGTGTTTATCTCAAATTTACTTCGATATTTTGACAATATATTCATATTTAAAGAAATGTACAGTAACTAGGAAGGTACATTGATTGGTTGTGTTTTAAACGCATGAAGACTTGGATCAATACATTTAAGTACAGTAAAGTTAAGAAATGTGATCTTGTTTTCTACCTTTTCTGACACATTCATTATATGACATCAATCATAACGCCAGAGGAATCAGATAAATATCTATTCTTTTATAAAAAAAACAATTAAGCGTATTTTGTTGTGAACGTGCCTTTTTGGTGTGTGCGCGTGTGCGCGCGCGCGCGCGCGTGTGTGTGTGTGTGTGTGTGTGTGTGTGTGTGTGTGTGTGTGTGTGTGCAGTTAATTCCACTTGGATGAAAACTATTGGGTTTTAAGGTTCATTTCTGTTCTTTTCCAATTTCCTCCGTAACCTAGTAATAGAGCATTTTATACAAATAAAACACCAACTGGAACGAAATTTGAAATAAAACTGAACATAAGAAAAGTATGTTTGGTATAAAAAGGGAGGTAAAAAAGAACTGATGGTTGTCGTGAATTGTCATATCAATATACCAAAACGACAGCGCTTACACAAACTTAATATTATATTTATTTATTTTATTCTTTATCAAAGGATCATCAATGTGAAACAATATATACAACATATCATAAATATAAAGCATATTAAAACATAATTAAAAGAGCACATTGTCACTATCTACATTATACGAGATTAATGATATGATAGCAAAGTTGTTTTTTTCCATTTTTTAATTCCATTGTTTGTTTAGTCTTTACTTTACATTATAAAATTAAATCGCTTCGAAATATAACTATAAATAATTTACATAATTTAAAGAAGTAACTATGGCTTTGTTGCCAAAAACAACATGAATAAAATATGTGCATTTCGCATCAAACAAAATCTCCAACACTCTTTAATCCACAAATAACTTACAAAATACTAAGTAAGATAAAATTCAAAAGAATGGTAATAATATTGAACTTAATTTACATACATATATTCAATAAATCGGGATTTAGTAAATATATTGTGTATAGTACCATCATATAATTTTTAATTTATGATTGATGACGCTCTTGTAAGAAAATAGTTACAGGTTCCCCTCGGGACGGATATTCAGATCCGAACCGCAACATATGACAGATATTATTAATCCGTATCAGTTAATATAATTTTATTAGAAAAAATCTACGGCAATTTTAGCCTAAGCAGCGTAATAATGTCATCCTAAATATAAAACTCATTCACAAAGGCGCTACAATGACGTTATTACTATATTACAACGATATCTTTTTTTCCATCCATTCTGACATGCTTAATAGAGTTAATCAAGATGCATTGTACTACATTGAGCGTATAAATAATTTTCCTGACGTCGCTTTGGTTTTTTGACATTATATCCCATGTCATAAGGCGTGCAAACCTTCGAAGACATTTTTAATTTTGCGGGTCAGTTATAACCTTCTGGCCCTACTCTGTCGTAAATTGATATCTTAATATTGCATATCTATTTCATTAGATAATAGCCTGAAGCGGTTTAGAATGATTTATTGAACACTGGCACGCAAAGTTAAATTGTTGAAAATTTGATTAGAAAAATTATCTCATTTATGAAAAATTGGATGAACTATTTCTTCTTATTATTTCTTATTGTTAAATAACTATCATACCTTAGCGACATAAAGGTGCAAATAGAACAACTCAATAAGAAAATCGGCAGCGGAAATAGCTTCCGCTTGAAAATATAACGTAAGTTGGTTCCCTTATTTTGTCATGTTAGAATTGAAATGATATCGGTCTCAACAGTGTTTATTGACTACTTTACTCAGGTCTGGAGATTTGATGCGGAGGAATTGACTTCGAAGGCCGTGTTATTTCTTAATCATAACTGCAAGGGTTTATGAATATATTTCGTTAGATTTCAGTTGCATTTTAACATAATGTAAATGTTTGTAATAAGAAGCATCAATATGGATATCATCAACAAATTCTTTCCACGTCAACTCATATAACACTTCCTCTAAACAATCCAAAGCTAAATGTTCATAACCGAGATGAAACTTGTTAACAAATAAATCCATACCATTGTAAGCTCTGTATAAATCTTCGACACCAAGTACACATACATTTCTCACATAATAGCCATGGCAATTGCCATCTCCTTTATTTCCCCAAATGACAAAACGAAGAAAAAATGGTTTCAGACAAGACGTTCCATCTTCTCCTGCAAGAAATACATCAGTTTTTAACTTCCCTCGAAATCGATGGAATTCAATCGTGTTATATAAAAGATGAAAATCATTTATATGATTAAAGAATTCTTGTGCTTGCACAAACAGAAAGAAACCAGTATCCAGTGTTAAACATAAATGTGAAATAACAAGAATACCTTCATCAATGATGGATGCTACCAACGTAGTACACTGAAATTCTATAACTGTGTGAGTGAAAATGATGAAGATGGAGAAACATTTAAAATGTCAATTTTGAAAGTACACTTGGTGGAGTTATAATTTTCACACACTTTATTCCTCTTTATGTATATGATATTTGTAAAAATCTTCAATAAAATGCTAGTTAAAAAGCTTTGTAGTTGTGTTTTGAACAAAAAAATTAACACCTGAATGTTCTATGAAGTTAAGCTGCCTATGAGAATATCCGATGAATTCCATTGAAAAATAGTCCAGACAACAAAAACATTGGGTGCACAGACATCTAGTACGGACATAATTTCAGAACAGGCAAATTAAAGCACGGACGGAAAAAGCAGAGGATATACGCAAATCAATTTGAGAACATAAACATTGTAGTTGAATGATTATCATTCAGTTTAACTATTTGACCAATTACTTATTGACCAATTATCAGTGCTTATCTTTTTCATCTGTTGCTTCTAGGTAATTTGTACAGTGACAGCGATTAAGTATTGTGTATGGAAGTCAAAATACTACTTGGTGTACATTTTGCTACGTTTATGACGAATTATTTCACATTTATCACTAATTTCATTAGGTTACAAGCATCTTACACACTCTAAAATCATTATTTACATGTTATGAAATTCATATTTGACCTTTCTATAGAAGTAAAACTTCCTTCGTTTCTGAGCCATAATGTGCTTTTAAAATAAATACATTTTGAATATATTTTAAAGTGAATGGTAATGTAAAATGTATAAAATACATAATAATTTGTCTAGTTTTACACAATACCTGAATCAGTACTTACCAATATAGGAACCTGGTATACCTAAATGAGGATTGTGATTAAGTGAAGAAAAGAAAAGTTCATCGGGAATCCGCGTTATTTTTAACCATTCTAAATATTCACGTGCTCTTGTGTCGTGAAGACAGAAGTCTACAAAGAACCTATTTGCGGCAATATGCATTGATCCTTTAGTAATTTGAATACCATAAGGTGGGGGCGTCTTTTTCATACCAATTCGCTTCTGCATGCTAACGTTTGACCTGAATTGAAAAGTTAGAAACATCAACTCAGCTGCATTTTGATATACGATAAAACTCCAAGGCTGCAATCATAATTTGATAGTAATTTCAGCCAGATATTGATAACTAGGGTTGGTTTACAAACGTTTACTGTATTTATCATTTAAAAAGTTTAATATACTATGCTATATACTAGTAAAATAACTGCATCTAGAACTACGTGTATAATTCAATGGATTATATAACAGGAAGAGGTGCTCTAAAATATGAGGAGACAGTAATTGAAGCAGTAGTCACAAGCTTCATGCTTATTTTTAAAGAATTATTGAAAGCAAGATATTTTGAAGTGACCAAAGAAAGATTTTTATCATTGCAAACATTGCTTTCAATCCATGTAAATTACTAAATTACTAAAAAAAAAGACGTCAAAATAAGCAAAATATTTGCCCCGAATGTGTTAGCCACGCATGTGAAATATAATAAATAATAAAAAAATCAACCATGTAACGCACTAAATATTTGAATTATTACTAGAAACTTCAATGTTTTTACTTTTCTTAAATTCTATTTAATTTTTAGTTTGGTCTTCTTTAAATATTTATTTTACTCATCTTGAGGCATGCATCTTTATTGTATAGAAAATATACACCGTTCCTAATTTAGCCATTTTGAGTGCATTTATGAAATTGCTGTTCATACAGCGCCGATCACTAGAATTAGTAGAACTCAAAAGAGTTGCCACAAGTGAGTTAAATTATTCATAGAATACAACTGCCTTTTAGTAATTTATTAAGGTTTTGGATGCAACTGAGGCAAAGAGTTCTCGAAGTGATTTGACTCGATAATATCTTTCACAAACATGTGCAAAATCTTTGCATACGAGAAATAAAGCATCAACTCTTGTTAAAAGGTAAGAGTGAGTGACTGTAGTATCTTAATAAAAAAACTTAATTATGACGTTAAAGAGAGATAGAGATGGTGATTAAACAAGACAAGGGATAATATCAGGAAGTTTGTTAAATACAGCTTTGTCCAAATTTCTATTTCATTCAGAAGAAAGAAGTTTACTTATTGAGGGTTTAAAATAACTGTTTGGTAAAGATAATTGCATGCTTTAAATGGTGTCATTCCCGCACACATGTTTGAATTAATAGCGTTCTTAGGACAACGTCATTTTGTCGTTATGAATGAAGTTATGAATTCATACGCTACTGCGGGCAAAAAAGTAATTAATGAAAATAGTTTTTATTAATTCTGTTCGAAATATAATGACCTATAACATGCAAGGAAAAAATCAAACACGGACTGTCGTCTCAGACAAGAAAATTTATCTCTCTCGTAACTGTTTTGCAGAAACTGAACAGAGCCTCGTTACCGCCGTAACACTTACCCTCTAGTAAGTTATTCCGGTCTGTATCGGCAGCCGGTGTAAGATTCTTTAACTCAAGTTCTCTTCATTTCTAAACGTTGCTGAATTATTGTAATAAATTCGTCTACAGTCAATCAAAATTTAAATCATTTCAATGGCAAAATATATTAAAATAGCAATCATCATAGTATTGCAAGCAATCCATTCAACCCTAGCAACATTCTGAAGGGCCATGAAATATGCCATTGAAAGAATGATTGATTGACATGTCTTTTCGAGTTGTTAGTTTGTTTGTATCATAGTAATGCGTTAAGTTTCCCTACCTAGTAAGGGAATTATGTTCATACAACAGATAGTCAAATTATCCAGTTTGCTCAGGATGAATACATTTAACTAATGTTCCAACTTTTCTCTATTTTAAGTTCATTCGTTGGAAAAGTAAAAGTGATCTCAGGAAACAGTTTTTAGGAACAGACAGACAGACGAACTCTGGGGGTAACATTTTAAAAATCCCTGGTTGTTACTAGAAATAATATTTTTAAAAGCAAAATTCTGAAACTAAATAGAAGAGAACACTTGAAATAAAGATACTAGACTTATTGACATTGTCATACATGATGTGAGTGTAACAAAGAACAATAATTTTAAGTTTAAAGAAGATACCATTTATAGTCACCAAGAAGAAAACAAGAACATTGTTTCATGAAAATTCAGGGGGTGGGGGAGGTAGTTCAAATAATTTTTGTGTTAGAGTTGTAAACCTTGTCACATATGATGTTGTTGATGATCAGAAACATATATTTGAAGTTTGAAGTAAATACCCTCAGAAATAAAAACATATAGTAAAAAAGCGTAAAAACATGAATCACAAACCTTGACGAGGTCGCCGACGCTTGGTGAATAGGACAGCTCTCATTATATTCCCTATAGTCAAGATGAAAATGGTTTATACAAACTCCATACTGCTATCTAATATTATTTCAAGTTTCATAAAAATGTTTATCACATACCCGTGCCGATTTTGCGACTCCGTAAATATGGTATTGCACGGCCGTGAATATATTTTGACGTGACGTCATTAGCGCTAAATGTTAGCTTTTTACTATAGGCGCGTCAATGAAAAATGACTCTTATTTCATTTTAAACTGTCTTTATTTTGGGTATGTGATAAATAAAATATTAAATTCATGTATGTTCATTACTGAATTTATTGAACTCGTCGAATAATAAGATATTATGCTCGCCAGAGGCTCGCATAATATAATTTTATTCAACTCGTGCATTGAACTTACACTCATTCAATATCCTCTATTTTCGTACTTTTTATGTAATCGCAAATAGTTATTATATTTGCCATATGTAAAACCTATTTGTTGCCATTGCAACCAAATTTTTCAACATAGGAAGTAAAGAAAATGGCGTGCATAATCTCTAGACTGCCAATTTTCATAAGAATATTTTCAGTACTTTTTGCGTTATCACGGGATCCAGTTTTGTAGACAGACGGACAGACGTAGGACATGCCAACATTTAGGTTTATGTGCTTTTTCTTGGATCTTTATGTGGCACTTTTCCACATAAACCAGTAAAAAAAAAAATTAACCAGTCGGTTTATTGGATGATTATCTTCTTTTTTAAGTAAGATTATAGACGGAATGAAGCTCAATAACCATTGGATGTTTGCCCGGACGACAGACTGACAGACGGAGGCCACTCCGGTTAATCCAGTAGGCGGCTAATTAAATGATTAATAGTTACGCCTGGTCAGACTGCATGGATATCATGGCTGACAAGGTTTAAGACTGACGGCAAAGGCTAACTGCGTTTAGTTCCGAGAGAATATGGTAAATTTTAGTCAATATCGCACTATTGGTGTCACCACTGATTTATATTAAGATAGTGTTACTCACAAAAGGTAAAGTGGAGCGTGTTATAACAACACGTGTTCATTACACTGTAAAGTGTCTCTCTGGAAAGTTAATGTAAATTTTCATACTTAAGAAACTTTCATCGTTTAGGAATTCATAGAGAAAATTTTCAGGTGCTGTTTACAACCAATCAATAAGTTATGAAAATAATGGTTGAAAAAGAAAATTATGAAAGGTAAAATTAAAGATGTTGCAGGCTCGCTTTGATGGACGGCAGTGATTAGTGCAAGCCATCTACGCCTCATAACAAGGGCTAAAGCAGAATTCAATATAATAGAAAAATACAGAATCGCTCCCGAAATGACAAAACTGAAAATGTTGCAGGCGGTTTTAGCCTGTTCATGGATATTCAGGTATAAAAATTATGAAATGTATATTTACAGACAAATAGAGACAGAAAAAAAATCATAAGAAATTTTTTTTAAAGCACAACATGCATTCTTGTTATATGTATATCCATTATAAAAATATGGTATACATGTAATTTATAAATGACCAAAGTTTCGAAAATCTTAAAAGGCGGTTATGTTCCCTCAGGGGCAATGAAATATAAAAAAAAGTATAGACTGTAGTCGTAGTAGACCCTATGAGAAGGGCGATGATAGTGCAACATCTCTAACAACAGTGACACGACATAAGCGTTTCTCAATTCTTTTCACGAAATGTGTTTAAAAATGACTAATTATTCTTACGTCTTCCTGTTCCCTTGTACCACATTTGCCCCATTTAAAACTTTGAGAATTGCCACGATTTGTCGATTAGTTTTCAAAGGAAATTCTTGCCCAGCAAGGTTTATATAGTATTTCCAAGCCTTAAAAGGCCACATAGTTTCCATGCATACTAATTCTGCTTCTAATAGTGTAAAGTTTCCCCATGTTACATCAATGGATTTTCCAGCAATAAACACATTCGATAAACAATAAGCAATCATTTTTAAGGCTTTCTTTTCAGTCGGGCTCATTTTAGAATCCATATGTATACAATAGTAATTGTGGGGTCTATATATAATACGTAAGAGTCTCTCAATTTGCTCAATATCGGTATATGCAAGTATTGAAAACGCAATTGGAAATGCACGTTCTTCTTCAGTAAGGGGATGCTGTATATAACCCCTAGTTTTACGAAACAAAGAGCAGTTACGTGTAATATTTAAATAAAAGTCTGAAGTTAGATTAGATTTTGTGTTACGACCAGAACTCATTATTGTCTTTGCTTTAAATATCTCATATTTATCATTATCTATAAGTTTTGAGCAATTAACACCAAATGAATTTCTGATTGGTCGGTAGAATGAGTCATAAACGTGCTTACGATGCATTGCATCCACAACTTCTGTCACTTTGTCTAATTTTGTCTCAAACGGATTTCGGCTTCTTAAATATTTCGAGGAAATATTTGAGATTATTGATTTTTTTGTATAATCATCAGAATATGATAATATCAAAAATGAAAATATTACTCCAAATGCAAGTGAATATGTTAATGATACCAAAACAAAGAAAATTTTCATTTTAAGATACACTATTTTCCTTATAGTTTCATATCTTTTAGTCTAATTCAATATTCAATAGTCCAGTTATGTATAATTTCACTATCAAATCTATTTAATTGTAGTATCCGTAGATTTGGATAATAACCTGAGCACAACATTTCAAAGACATTTTGCAGCCAGATTTAAATTCATATTGCTTTAGAAAAAAGCATGTCGTGTAGCATCATAAACGCTCGTCAACTATAGATTTCCTTGAACAGATGGCTGATGCATATGAAAATCAATACTTCATGTTTCTTTATCAGTAAATAAGCTTTACGTTTACAGCAGATAATTCATAATAGAAAATTTAAAGCAATTTTATTAATCGCAATTAAACTATCAACTTAACTAGTGATGATTTATTGTCATGGTTTAAAATACCCTGTATGTTGTAATAAAGGATGTAACAACATTTAAGTGAAATTTTATATATAGGTATATATATTCTTCTAAAACAATTTCCAAACATCCAAGAATATGTTAAATATGCACTGCAAAAGTTTATACGCATTACAAGTAATCATTAAACTATATGCATTAATTTCTTCTTGGACTTTATCAAAATAAATTTCTAATTGTCTCCCTTTATTTACATAGAATGCAAATTCGGTAATATAAATAATGTTTCTTAGAACTTACAATATTGATAAATCTTTATTTGATTATCATATTTATGATATAAAACCATAAAAAATGAGTTACTAGATCTTTAAAGTTTTAAATTCTAGAATATGATGTGTTACTCATCTTGTCAATAAGAAAATAAAAAAGCTGCATCATATCTTAATATAGGATACTTATAAACTTACAAACGTATTAAAATGTCTAAGTTTACAATCTTATATTGGCCTTTTGGCCTGAAATCAGTGTGACAAGTAGGTGACATGTAGAACTCATCAGGGTCTTCTCACATATGATATTTCAGTGTTATGGCTTTTTAGTATTGACGTTAATGCCCATAAGCAAAAAGCAAAAATAAATAAACCTGACGCCGACGAGTGGGTCATGACAATAACTCCACTATTTCACTTCAAAAAGTAGAGCTAAAAATAAATACAGTTTCATTTACTTTACACGTTTTTCTTTAAAGTATCTGCAAATGACATGTCCGCGCTATCAGAACGCTCATCACATCACCCTCTTAAAAACAAATAATAACCTGCACGAGTAGTGCAAACACAATAACAGTGGCCCGCGCAAGAGAACAGAAAAAAATGTTTACAATTTACATGTACACACATGCTCAGTTCTGATATACTAGTATTATAACTCTATCAACTGAAAATTAGCTTTTTTAATGAATTCAGCGACCATGCTGCCTTAAATTTTGACATTTCGTGTAACTCGGTCAACGCAAATTGTTCAAAAGCATTTAATTACGAGTATATTAAATGGAGTGATAATGATAAAGAATTATATCGTTCTGGAATTATAGCAAAATTGCCTGTTTTAAATGATATATTATTGAAATGTAATGTAAATGATGTAAATAGTGTAAATAATACGGTGAATTTATTCACAAGTGCTGTGAGGGAAGTGGCAGATCCTCTTTTTTTAAAACATGGTTGTACATTTCCAAGATTTGATGTAACTGAAATTGATGATTCCTGTAAATGGTTTGATTTAGATTGTAGGGAAACAAAACAATTGTACAAAAATGCATTAAAACAGTTTAATATGTCACACGCAGAGACTGATAGATTAGAATTAGTTCAACGTAAAGCTAGGTATAAATATGTTGTTAAGAAAAAACGTCGTTCTTTTAAATGGCAACAAACTAAAAATTTTGAAAATTTAAAAAAGAGTAAACCACGTGATTTTTGGCGCTATTTTAAAAAGAAACAGGGACGTAATAATTGTGAAATACCTTTGCACGATTTTAAAACATATTTTGAAACTATGTTCTCTGAAGTAAATTTTCCTTGAATGAAAGAGCAGAAGATATTAACAATGATTTTAATGATTTTAACCCTGTTTTTTCTGAATTAGATGGAAATATTACTTTACAGGAAGTACTTAAGGCAATTTCTATGCTTAAACGAAATAAAGCGGCGGGGATAGATAATCTTTTAAACGAATATTTTATAGAAGCAAGTAATATTTTGTCTGGACATATAACAGAACTATTTAACAATATTTTAGAATCTGGCATTTTCCCCGAAATCTGGACAAGAGGTTGTATAATACCATTACATAAAAAAGGAAATAAAGAAAATGTACACAATTACAGAGGAATAACTTTATTAAGTCATCTTGGTAAATTGTTTACTAGTATTTTAAATCAACGAATAACTAAATGGTGTGATGAAAATAATGTTATCTCTGATTAGATGCGCAGTTTGGTTTTAAAAAAGGTAGTTCGACTACAGAAGCTGTTTTTATATTGCATTCTATAATTGAAAAATATTTGAACCAGAATAAAAGATTGTATTGTGCTTTTATTGATTTAAAACGCTGTTTTGATTCTATATACAGGAATGCACTTTGGTTTAAGATGTATTATACTGGTTTGAATTGTAAATTATTAAGAATAATAAGAAGTATGTATAGCTCTGTTAAATCTTGTGTAAAGTCCTGTGGTAACTATTCTGATTTTTTTTTATATTTCGATTGGATTACGTCAAGGGGAGATAATTTCCCCAGTTATGTTTTCCTTGTTTTTTGAAGACCTAGAACTTTATTTGCAAAATAACTTAAATTCTGGTATAGGTCTTCAAGACATTTGCCTAATTTTACTTTTGTTTGCTGATGATATGGTATCAATTGATGAAAATCCTCTGGATCTTCAAAATACATTACATAAGCTTCATGAATACTGCAATAAATGGGGATTAGAAGTTAATGTAAACAAAACCAAAATCGTAGTTTTTCGTAAGAGAGGTGGTTTAAGAGCAGGAGAAAACTGGTTATATGGTCAAGATAATATAGAAATTGTAAATGATTTTAATTATCTAGGTGTCACATTGAATTATACAGGAAATTTTAACTTAAATACTCAAACTTTATATGGTAAAAGTTTAAAAGCCCTAAATAATTTAGTGGCAAATTTGAAAAAATATGAAACAAAACCAAAAATAGCCCTACAGTTGTTCGACTCTTTTATTGGTTCTATTTTAATGTATGCAAGTGAAGTATGGGGTTTTCACAAATCAAAAAAGTTAGAAAATATTCATTTGAAATTTTGTAAAACTATTCTTGGTGTTAGAAAATCTACTAGTAACGTAGCTGTGTATGGTGAACTTGGAAGATATCCGTTGTATATAAACAGATATGTTCGAATTGTGAAATTTTGGTTTAAGATAATAAGTTCAAGTAATATTATTATAACTACAATTTTTAATTCATGTATGTCTGATATAAATATAGGGTATACAAACTGGTTTGCAAATGTACGAAGTCTTTTAGAAAAATACGTTTTTTTATGTATGGTTAAACTATTTAAGCGTTAATCAAAATTGTTTTATTGTCATTTTTAAACAGAGATTAATAGATGAATATTTACAAGAATGGAGAGCTAGTATAAATTGTAATGATGTATTATTTTTATATAAATCAGTAAAGAACAGTTTTGAAATGTCACCTTATTTAGAAAATATTGTATCAAGAAAATTAAGAATAGCTTTGACAAAACTGCGTATTTCAGCTCATAATCTTAGAATACAGACAGGTAGATATTCACGTGAAAGAGTAGAGCGAAATTTAAGATATTGTTTAATTTGCAATACAAATGAAATTGAGGACGAGTTCCATTTTGTGTTTAAGTGTCCTGCATATGAAAATTTAAGAAATATATATATTAAGAATTATTATAGAAATAGACCAAGTATGTTTAAGTTTACTCAATTATTAAAAAGTGATAAAAATAAAGAAACAATTATGCTCTGTCAATATATTAATGAAGCTTTCAAACTACGATATCAGATTATTAATGCTTATTAATATGTATTTCAACCTACTTTTATGTATACCTAACAGGTCCAAACTAATGAAAAGTTTTATTGTGTTTACTACTGTGTATGTAATAGCCATTATCCTTTAATATTTGTGTCACAACTCTATTTTGTTTCGTCCATCCAATATAATTATTATGTTTACTTTCATGTCATTGTATTTTTCATGTCATTATATATGTATGCTTGTATATATGTTAATCACGAGAAACTTATAGTTTAAGTGAAATAAACGTTCTTCTTCTTCTTCTTCTTCTTCTTATAAACTTACAAACGTATTAAAATGTTTAAGTTTACAATCTCATATTGTCGTTTATAGCAGAAAAAGATTTGTAAAAGATATGTCTTAATCAAGAGTTGTCGGTACGACGACGTGCTCGACTATATACAGTGTCTGATAATAAAAGATGAGACAGGACAAAGTTGAAAGCAAAGAGCCATTATGTCTAAATCAATGTAAAACTTAAGGGCCTTGGATAGTTTCATCCTTTCATTCTCCGAAATAAGTTTCATCCCATTCCCTTCAGTTGTTTTGGAGATACAAGCTTGCACACAAAAACTTAAACACCAAAAATTCCGGCGCCGATGAGAGCTCTCAAGTCGTCTTCGAATAACCGAGCTATAGATCGGGTAAAGTGATATTTACTCAAGATTTGTAAAAACAAGGGTTGATTTACAAAAATTGATACTATTACTGATATAATGTCTTTGACAGTGAAATAAACCGATTTGTGTCAAAATAAAATTAAAGAACGATTAAAATAGGGGAAATTTAAGTATTGATAGAGTATAAAATATTGTTTCCAATATCCTCCTGAACTGTAATATATTTTTTTCTTAAACATGTAAAAGTGTTTAACATGATCATTAAAATTGTTCCTATAACAAAAATATTGAATTTAGAAAACTTCTGTGTACAACCACTGTTTTGGGAGCTTTAGGTCCGTAAAAAGTAATTGGTAATCTTCATCTTCACACTATCGAACATAATTTGTAAGTTAAGCGAGAGGTGATGAAACAACCATGTTAAGAGGTTAAAAGCTTTATCTTATGAAATATTTTCATAAAATGTATCAACAGTAAAATTACATTTTTTTCAATAACCTTATGATTCTCGTAAGAACTGTAAACAATAAATGTCTCCTTTATTTAACACACAAAAAATATATATGCATGAAGAAAATATAAATGCTGGTATTTAAAGTAGAGCTTTAACCGTTAATCTTTAACCATGACTTCGTGCATGGGTCATTTCGCTTTTGAGGTAATATACTAGTCCACCATGCATATCTCATACATGCAGCAGATACATAGCTAAATAACTATCTCTTTAATGTGTCTATGTATTGCCCTTTTTGAATTTCCTCCCTTATACTCGTATTTGATCACAGACCACCATTTCATACATTATTGCCATTGCACATATGTGATGTGTTCTTTTCAGGAATAAGATAAATTGAAATCTATCAGTTTTAAACAAAGCCATTATTCAAATCACATTTATATTTTCTTACGTTAAACTTTTAACGTCTTTTTATCACGAAATACCAACCTTCATGCGTGTCAGTCAAAATATCATTCTCTTTACATGTTGCTACATTTATGACAAAGCATTGCATATTCAACACTTCTTTCTTCTGATTAACTAGTGAAATATTGTTGCAAACAGTGCTCATATAAGGCAAGTATAAACAATGTATGGAAAGGAGAAAATATAATAAAGTTTCCTTGGCTTGACCTTGAGAAAAGAAAAGAATGAAAATATTGAACACAAGATAACCTTCAAATGATGACAGGTGAATGGTGTGAAAATGATCTTCTTTAGTGGCATACAATCATTATTAGTTCATCCGAGTGTGACAAAATTATATTTAAGTGATTTAAGTGACAACCAATTCAATTAAAGCACATCCAGATTTATTTGGATGGTTTGTCTAAAACAATGCGTCTACTTTGATATTCAAATCACGGTGCAAAATATATGTAAAATTTCGAATCTCTTGCCTGGATAGGGACAAGGAGTCTAAACATGAACAACGAGACATGTCCTTATGGAAATTGGGCTCACATGAAATCAGTCTGTGTTGCCATTTAGAACGCATGGTACGTATGATGTTGGTTTTAAATTAGAAAAATGTAGTTTAAAAAACAACGATTTTTATAGTAAAAATAGTAAAAAACGATATCCCTAAAGAACTTCCGAATCGATGAAATTTATTTTGTTGCAAACTATTACAATTTGATTGCATCTGTTTATGGACAATAGTGGTAATTGTACGCCTTAACTTGGCAAACCGTTAGTTCATGGACAACCTGGTGAAGTGTTTTTTCACAGTGGACCATTAATTTTGAGAAAAACTCAAACAAAGAAATTGAAGTGGCCATTGAAATTTATAGCTGTAATAACTTAATCCAACCGCATACTAGTACTTGTGTAAAAAAGGACTTAAGTACATCTTCATAATTAAAAAATCTTGATAAAGTGTGATCCCTCGAAACCTTCCGGTAACGTTTCTGGTAGCGTCGGTCTTAATTACCAAGGATTGCTGACCCTGCGGGTTCAAACCCCGTCAGACTCAAGCCGTTGTTTCCATGGGCGAGAAACTTTTCACTCATTGCTTAAATAAATTAGATACCTTTGCAAAACATAACTTAAGGATTATCTGCACTTTGGATATTCCATCAAAAACTGACAATAAACAAGTAAATCAAGTTCAAAATGAATACCTTTGGCAGTTCCTGTGAAAATCGACCTCAATTTATTGCCTGTTAAAGGTCTCAGGAACCTTGACCTTTGGCCTTTTGGCCTGAAATCAGTGTGACAAGTAGGTGACATGTAGAACTCATCAGGGTCTTCCCACATATGATATTTCAATGTTATGGCTTTTTAGTATTGACATTAGTGCCCATAAGCAAAAAGCAAAAATAAATAAACCTGACGCCGACGAGTGGGTCATGACAATAACTCCACTATTTCACTTCAAAAAGTTGAGCTAAAAATAAATACAATTTCATTTACTTTACACGTTTTTCTTTAAAGTATCTGCAAATGACATGTCCGCGCTATCAGAACGCTCATCACATCACCCTCTTAAAAACTCTTAATAACCTGCACGAGTAGTGCAAACACAATAACAGTGGCCCGCGCAAGAGAACAGAAAATGTTTACAATTTACATGTACACACACGCTCAGTTCTGATATACTAGTATTATAACTCTATCAACTGAAACTTAGCTTTCGATTCTGTAAGGTAGTAAGTACTTTAAAAGAATGGTGTTGACGTGTATGATTCTGATATTTAAGTACATAAGATAAAATACCCAAGGCCATTCACCGTTTTATTGTTCAAAACTGGTCAGAAATGAATAAAAACGAACCAGATCGATCCAATCACTCCTACATCTGTCACCGATATTAATTCATTAAATGTTCACCTAAGGCTTTGTAATAAAAACATCTTTAAGTCCTGAATTAATTGACGTTTATTCTTCAGTTCTTTTGTACTGAATGAAAGCAATGTCAATGACATGTATATTCAATTGCCTTACCACATGCTTAAATTGTCACTGTAAATGTAATGCTTGCTTAAATGAAGGCGGAACATGTTGTTTACATTGTAATTATTTACACAGCTTAGTAGAGGTTCACTGAGCAACCCCTCACCTTTATGTCCTCTCTGTACTTGACCGGTATATTTCATTTCTTCTTTTATGCACTTCCCTTTCGCTCAATCAATAAACAATTTGTGTTGTTCATACCGTAAACACCGTCAAAATGTCTTTGTTTGAAACCAGAAGTATATAGAGCAGCTTTTGGTAATTGTTACCAGTTGTATAAAACAATTCGTTCACGATTCTTGGTACATCTTACAGATCGGATTCAGATAAAGATACATACGTTGATAGCTAAATAACTATTTTAAAAAGGAAGTTAATGTCATAATTAAATCAACAATTAAAACTGCGCTGAAATGGGCATCATATGGATATGGTAGATGTCTTTTAGCTGATAAAGTTAACGTAATAAAAAGGGATTAGAAAAAAATTCACTACATTGTCCAATGAACTAACATAGTTTCTACATATGTAGATACTAAGCCTTTGTGCCGAGGTCATATTTAGAGCAAGAACTGAAGAAAGTTATTTGTTGTCTCAGACCAAAAGTTAGCACTTTCATACTGTCAGAAATTTTGATTTAATGTTAGGAGATACGCATGCATAAAAATGAAGGTGTGTTACTTAGGTAAAACAGTTGATTTTCATGTGTTCAAAAATATAACTTTATGTAAAATGAAAACAAGGAAAGCAGCAAAAGTTAAATATTTCGGTATGAGGATCAAACTTTTATGTTTAATTGTACTAGTTTTCTTCTGTTTACCACCGTATGATGGGAATTCATTCGAAAGCGTCCATGGTTATCGCGATGAACGTATACTAACGAAGTTATCAGAAGAATTTGACAAATATATAGAAATCGGGAACTACTCTAGTAATACAAAAGACGTAAAGATGGAAACCTATAAACCTAGCAGCAATTCTTCTCAACTTCATTTAAATGTTGATATTACAAAGCAGATAAATCAGAGTGTTAAAAAAGAATTTGGATTTGAGAAGAATGCAGTATTCCGATACATTGTGTACAAGAAAAACTATCGCTCGATCAAGAATAATGATGGAGTAAATTGTCTTAAGATAGTTAATGATGATCTAAATGAGATAGGAAAATCAAAAGAATTGATGAGAAGTTTAGACTTTTCAAGACAGCAATTGACTACAACGTTTTATTTGAATATTACAAGAAATTGTTCTAAATTTCGACATGAAAGGGGTTATATCAATCATCCCCTGTCTGAAAATGAATATGATTTTCCTCTTGCATTTTCAATACTGACCTATACAGACATTGAGTTGACAGAACGTCTTTTACGTTTAATATACAGGCCTCATAACTTCTACTGTGTTCATATAGATTCTAATATGTCTCAGAATGACCAAAGAACTTTAAGAAATATTGCAAATTGCTTATCTAATGTGTTTATTGCAAATGAATCCATTGATGTTAAATGGGGAGGGTTTTCACTGTTAGAGGCAGAACTGTCGTGCATGAAAACTCTTTGGCCTTACAAGAATTGGAAATACTACCTCAACCTCGCAGGACAAGAATTTCCGCTGAAGACCAACCGTCAGATTGTCGCTATTCTAAAAGTACTAGACGGTGCAAATGTAGTTGAAAGGTTAATTCAATTTCTTGATATTGCGGCTTTGAAAAAAATTTACACCAATGTAGTGCTAAATTAAATTATGTTGTTTTTCCTTTGTTTAGAATAAATAGTTTAACTTGTTCTAAATGAAAGTGACGTTACATCTCCATTCAGAATTGTTTTATAAAAAAAACACGGTCAAGATTTCATTTTCTTTTTTTCATTTTTCATTATTTTTAATCGGAAAAAGAAGAACCCTCTTGTATAGTAAGAAACACACAGGATAAACTTATAACGCATGATCAAAGAAATAAATATAATAACTGTATTTAAGTTTTTTAAGATTGTTTATCTTCATTTTCAGATCTAGGACTGTCTATGAAAATCGATATAAAATGGCTAAGTCACCCCCACCTCATAATATTACGCTGGCTAAGGGATCCATGCATGTCGCTGTTAACAGATATTTTGTTGATTTTTGTCTTCATGATCAAAGGTCTCTTGACTTTTTGGATTGGCTAAAGCAAACTAAAATACCAGATGAGACATTTTTTTCTTCTTTGAACTATAACCCTCATCTCGGAATTAAGGGTTCCTTCATAGGTAAGTACAACAAAAAAGTAAAGGTTTTGTAAGCATCTTCTTTGACAATAAATTACTTTATATTTATGAGAGATCTCTATGGAAAATGATACAAAACTAAACCCGTCAATTTCATATGTGATGGAACGTTCAAATAAGATACACTGTAAGTTCTGGCAACTATTATTAGCTTACTATTGCCGTACATGGACAGGCTTGTTTGTGCTCCACCTTATCGGGCCTCGGCTTTGTATCTTTCAATGTGGACCATGGTAAACCAATGATTTTTAATATAATTCCTCTCATCCGAACACCAAACAGTGATGTTATTGAGGGATAAAATCACTGTTTTGGATATATTATTTCTTAAATATCATGGTCCGTCTAATATTGATCGTCACCTTTTACTATGCATGCAGTCACTACATATTTTGGAATGTTCAGGAAAATTGACGAACAGCCTTGCTCAGATTGAAATATAGCATGTTATGAGTTTATCATTACAAAATATGAACATGTACACGTATTCTAATTTTTACCATCTAATTTGGTATTTTGAAATCCTCATGAATATTGATAACTGTCACTATAGAAGATAATTGCATTCAAATTTGATTTTAATAAAACTTCGTTATAAATTGGTTTTCGTACCATATCAAATGAGTGGACTCAAATAAGTAGGTTTTGCTAAAGAAAAAGCTTTCTGACAATAGAAGAAGAATATGATTATATCAGTTTGTATCCAGAATAATTGCTGTAAGATTAATTGTTCTAAAAAATGAAACAGGTTTTTAAATATTGACAAAAGTCTTTGTTTTTCTCTATAAAACTGAAAGAGAAATTAAATATTAATAATGTTTGACAGGGAGATGGCGTTGCAAAGTGCATTTCCTAACATATTAAAACGTTTTGGATTTGTAATTGGATGTTTGTAACTGATATATACGATTTAATTATTTATTGTTTGTAATTTTGATTTCATTTTTTTCTAAGGTGATGCGGAGACAAACAAATTAACACATTTTTTTCTACGTTTCGTTATCTGGAAATATCCTGGTATTAATCGATGCAGAGGAAAATATATTAGAGGTATATGCATAATTGGAGTAGAAGACCTACACAAAGCTTATCATGGTAAAGAATTATTTGTAAATAAATTTAATCTTGACTTTGAACATATAGCACTAGACTGCTTAGAAGAAGTGTTATATGAAAAGACATGGGTAGAGTATATGAAAGACCTGCCTGTCAATACAAGTTATTACAGGACATTAGATTACGCAAAGTTACAACTGAAAGTGTGATGAACATGTGATATCTTCGTTTCTAACAAACAGACAACCGTATGTAGTTTTGTTAGAGCACACATGTGTTCAGTTCAATGTATAACTAGTTCAACATATTGTACAAATGTAAGTAACATAATAACCGTATGTAATTTTCGAAAAGTGTAAAAATTAAATACAGTAAAACCAAGCAAAACGTGTTGCTTTTCAACAAGCAATGACAATTGATAAAGAAACAAATAGAGTGGTTTACACACAACAAGGAGAAAAAAATTCTTTACAAGATTTAATTAGATGAAACCAGAAGTAATGCAAAACTGAAAATAGTACGACAGGAATACGACCATGGTGTCAAAGGCCATGTTCTAAAAGTCAAATATGGAAAACAATGTATAATCCGTATAATTGTTATATACCCCAATATATATGATTTGATTTAAGAAACGTAAAATTGGCAACTGATTGTAGAGTTTATTCTGATAAAAAGAGGCGCTACAGAAATGTATCATACAAATATCAATCTGACAAAGAATCAGATCTACTTATTTCTTACAGTCATGTAGATCTGAAATCAACCTTATTTGTTTTGCCTTCATTCAGATTCGGATTTCCCGAGTTTGCTAATTTTAGCCATCCATTGTAATATCACTTTACATTTACATTTAAGTAGGGAAAAACATAAAACATGTTCCAGTTCAAACTTACTTACAACCGATAATTATGCAAATGGACGACGCCATGTTTGTTCCAGTGGGAACAGATATTTCACACCTAGACACTTCACCCTTAAAATTTTAAAGACACTTTACCCCTAAGACACGTCAACCCTCAAAATCAGTATTACACTTAACCCCTCATCTTATATTTTTTTATTTAAGGCCCATTATGTCTCAGAAATGCTCTCATTTTTATTTCTCATTATCCTTTTTATCTTGTTACAGTTTCATAAAAAAAAACTCATTTGCCTTATACAGTAGAATCCCTACTAAAGACCATCTCGGTTTAAGACCACCCCGCTTTAAAGACCAGTTTTTAAAAGAACGGATTTTTCTGTTCTTTATGTCAATGGTTACATGATCCAGAATTAAGACCACCTCACTTTTCCACTTTTAAGACCACCAAATTCAGTCCCAATTCATTATTTTGTTCTTTATTTGACCTCACTATTGAGACCACTTATATTAAAATTAACACCTTCCTAGATCTAAAATGTTTTGTTATGTTGTTATTATCTGCTTGATTGCTCTTAGGCATGACACTTGATTACACAAGGTGTCAAAAACTGTTATTTATGGGATATTTAACGAAAAAAGGTGAGAATGTTAATTCCATAGTGGTTTAATGTTTTGTGACGAAATAATGTCTGAAATGTGAATTATGTATATCATACAATAATTACTATTGAAATCAGAACAAAGAAAATTTGATATAAAATTTCTTCAGAAATATGTTTTCTTCCCATCAGATGTAACATTATAACATACTTTCATATTGTATTTGCAGGTTAAGATACTTATTGTTTGTTCATACAAAATGACTAAAATAGGCCCTAGTCATAACGTGTGTAAGCAATAATAAGAATATCCAGAATTAAAACCACCCCGCAATATAGACCACTTTGGTCTAGTCCCGATGGTGGTCTTAATTGAGGGTTTTTACTGTATATGAAATATCTTTCGCTTTGTTTGCAATTGGTATAATGATGGTGAATAAGTATTTTGTATGGAAGTCGAAATACTTATTTGTTTACATTTTGCAACCTTTACGACACAATAGTGCACATTACTGCACATTTAGCCTACTTTTCTCAGCTGTTAAACATCTAACATGTTCTTAATCAATTAATAAAACATTATAAACACATGTTGCACATTTCTAAAGAATTTGATAAATACAGATTTCTGAGGCATAACATGCCTTAAATTAAATAATTCAATAACAAATAAATCTTTTATATGTTTATTTTAACTATTTGTTGTAACTTTTGTTTAACATTAAGCATGGGGATTGGTTGTTTGTTTATTCAACAGTTATCTCATAATTAATTAATTTATTGGATTTAAGAGGTATTTCTGAACCAACCAACGAATGAATGGATGAATTAGTTTTTGACATAATGGTTGATCTATGTTTTAAATACAACGATATTAGTTCAAAGAACTTTGATACTATAGTAGGAACAATACTTATTCTTATTGATTAATTAGTTAACTTATTAATTAATTAATTGATTTAATAATTCACCATCAATTAATTAATTAATTTAAATTATTCACCATTAATCTGTATCTTTCATAAGAATGTGAATTAATTCAACTATTACATAATGAAACAATCATTACAGCTAATTAATAGCTTTGTATTTATGTCTAAATATAAATTTATTTACTATTTAAAAAAATATCTTTGTGATATGGACCTTGTTGGGGGATGAAGTATATTAATCAAAGTTCTTCAATGAGGGATGAAGTATCTGTAAATCGTTCCAGCGCAATATCTCGCAATCATGATGATTATCTTCCCTATATTCGTTTTCCAGCGTTTAAAAATAGAAACATAATAGTCAGAATTATGAAAGCTCGCCGATGATTGGCTGTTAGAAAGGTCTCGAGAAATGACGTTTTATTTGGTCACGGTCAGGTCTAAAAGCGGAGCGTTATTTAGAGCTGATTTTAATCAAATTGATACGGTGGCACAAAGGTGACGTGTGTGTGTTTTTATTTGTCTCGTGGCCACGAGATACTATGTCGTGGCCACGAGTTACTAAGTCGTGGCCACGAGATAGCTTAGTCGTGGCCACGAGATACTATGTCGTGGCCACGAGTTACCAAGTCTTGGCCACGAGTTACTAAGTCGTGGCCACGAAATAGCTAAGTCGTGGCCACGAGATACTATGGCGTGGCCACGAGTTACTAAGTCGTGGTCACGAGTTACTAAGTCGTGGCTACGAGATAGCTAAGTCGTGGTCACGAGATACTATGTCGTGACCACGAGTTACTAAGTCGTGGCCACGAGTTACTAAATCGTGGCCACGATATAGCTAAGTCGTGGCCACGAGATACTATGTCGTGGCCACGAGTTACAAAGTCGTGGCCACGAGATAGCTAAGTGGTGGCCACGAGATAAATAACCAATCAGATTACACCATTTATATGAATTTCCCTAATTAACTAGACATGTGCTATAGTACAAGGATTCCCCTACTTCACCAGCCTGTAAAAGTGACATTTATACAACTTATTGACTGGTTAATAATTTTACATCTAGCGTCACTGTGACCCTGATTTTTTACCCAAAGACCTCGAAATTATTAGATGTCATCTACTGATCAGGTGCAATGATCTGTCTGGGTTATATAAACCATGGCGTATCCCTTCTACAGTATTCATCAGACAAGGATTTTACCTTATAGGCCATCTACTGTCCATGGGCAATGTCCCTTCCAAATAAATAAACCAAGACTTATTCCTTCTCATGTTGTAGTATAAACAAGGTTAACAGGCCGTAGTACGTACAAACTGACTAATTCGATCACAAAATTGTCCCAACAAAGAGCAAAATAATATCTGATGGGCCTTGGAAGGTGACTTTCTAATATGATCCCAAAGACAAGTTCAAAGTGAATATCTTCAGTATTTTTAAAGATTAATGTTGCATGTAAAAGTAAGATGTAAAAGTAAGTTGTTAAGTTTAAAAAAATTCATAATATATATATAGTGTATTCTGATTGGTTAATTATCTCGTGGCCACGACTTAGCTATCTCATTCCCACGACTTAGTAACTCGTGGCCACGACATAGTATCTCGTGGCCACGACATTAGATCTCGTGGCCACAACTTAGCTATCTCTTGGCCATGACATAGTATCTCGTGGCCACTTCTTAGCTAAATCGTGGCCACCACTTAGTAACTCGTGGCCACGACATAGTATCTCGTGGCCACGAGATAAATAAAAACATACACATGTCACCTTTATTACATAAAGAGATAAATAAAAACATACACATGTCACTTTTGTTATGGTCATTGGGTTTACTTATATATGTTTCTACATGATCATTTTGATGTTTTACTTATTTAACCTTTTGTAACCATAACAACTGTTAGAATTTCACTTGGCGGGGATTCATTTTATTTACACTGTCTTGTTTATAGGAACATGGTGGGGCTAAGAGCGAGGTTTGGTGCACCATTAACCGGTTTAAACTCCCCAGCAGTATTTATGCTGCTGACCGTTCCAAGGCGGCGCCCCTCTATGTTCCTCAGATGTATGTCTATGTTGTTTTATACTGTTATGGTGACACTTTTGTGTCTCTTGTTGTTTCTCGTCTACGGTAAGTATCTTCCCCTTTGCCCCTAGTTTTTATTTATTTTATTTATCCCCCCCCCCCTTCCCCGGGTCTCATGTCCCCTTCCCCTGTGCCTTTTGACTTTATGGGCCTAATATTCAATCATTTATTTGTTTTCTTTTAGTTCCTTATCAGTTACTAATTATCTATTCTTATGTAGTGGTTTGCCTGCCCGTGCTCTGCCTTATGCCCTGTCCTATTTCTGTTTAGGGTCCTCCTGGGCTCCTTGCCACTGACGCTTGTTACTGGGTCGGGTTAGGCCTGCGTTCATTGAACGCCGCCTTTCCTTGTCGAATTTGTTTATCATATTTTATGCCACCGTAGATTGATATAAATATTTACTAAAAAATAAAATTTTCAACTTGTTCGCCGCTCTTTGTAACTACCATTGTATTCCCTATTGAAAAGGTAAGTAAAATGTTCACTAGAAGATATCACCTTCATAACATATGACTAACCATAGTTTTCGGTGCTGTACCTTTTAAAACAACATTACTCGGAATTTTTAAAAAAAATTCTCATACTCGACTTCAGACAAAAGTTTAATAAAAGTTGTAAATTACAATCCAATATGATAAGTAAGAGCTGAATTTCAAAGCAGATCTCGACTATTAAATTAATGCACTTTTTTAAGATATAAGTGAAAACTTTTTAGACAAAATTATCTCAGAGTAGATCGGACAATTTCATTTTGAAACTAGGTTAAAATTTTCTCATATGACACAAAGAGTGTGGGACAATTATGTCTTCGAGTAATAATTAAAACTACAAGTAAGCAATGGAGGGTACCGTATAAATAACGGTTTAATATTTAGGTTTGATCACAAAAGAGTGAATAGTTTATTCATTTCAATTTTATTTATAAAACGTGACATTGTATATACAGTTTAAAGAAAAGACAAAACAAGTATAAAGAACAATAACAACAAGTCATTAAAAAGTGTGTACAATTATAAGTAAATTAATTTATACCATTGCGCTTACATTATTTGATAAGGTATGAATACAATGCAGGTCTACATATCGTTTTTATATGAAACGGTCGATAGTTACATGACAAATATCAGAATGAAACATGTACACCAAATTTAATATGTGCATTTGTCTTGTCGCTTCTTGTTTTAAGTTAATTTTACCCTTTAATTGCAGCCTTATTAATAGTTTAATGTTTCCCCTTAACGAGTCTAGAGAATAGAGAAGCTGCAGTGAATATTTCTTAAATCCAACACTTACTTTGTAAACATCAAATTTAGAGACGTTATTTCATATATTTTGGAATTCACATTTGTCTTTTTTGTAAGTAAAATTTGTATAGATGTTTTTCAGATAACATGATTTATTTAAGAAGGTTGCTGCGCAAACGATTTGATGCAAGTATCTAACCAGTAATTCACTTTCGCTTAGTTACAGATACCCTTTTGAATATTGTCGCTATCATTACTTTCTTTTGATTTGTTTGGCTCTAAGTCTAACTGACATCATTCAGGTGGTATTGCGACTTTCAAGCAGCAGCATATAGATAGTTTAATATTTTCCTCACATAAAATACATTTGTTTCTACGTTTGTACAGAACTTTTGACTTTTAATAATCAAGAAAAATGACACCCAAATAGCTCTATCTTTTGAGGGAGATACATTGTGCGACAATCTTAAATCATTTATTAGAAATTCCCTTTTGTAAAATATTTAGAACAATTATTTATATGTTTCTTAGTTGCTAAAAGACAAGATAGTAAGGACTATTTCTAGCATTGATGTTAATTCATAATATTCCTTACTTATCACATAATAGCACAACTTTTAGCGGCTTCGTTCCTTAGCACTTTTTTCGCGTCTCCAATCTCACTGAAACGTTTTCGCTGAAAGGAAGCTCTTCTGCGCCTGAAGGTGGAACTTTTCTTCTCTAGTTTACATCCAGCAGATGACATGGCAGCCACTTCAATAACGTCTTTCACACTCTTATGTGAAGTTTTTGCAGAAACCTCTGAATACATCACGGCATCTATAAGTTTTGCAGTTTTGACTCCCTGTAATAAAAAAATGCATGTTTTTCCCACAGGACTAAAACTTATGTTCGTAATGTCAGCCATAGAAAGTAAATGTTGACGTCTGCGTGATCCTCGGAGGGATCTGATATCTATATCTAAATCGTACATTATCCTGCAATAACAACAATAATAAGAAAACACTGCGACTTATCTTTAAATTTAATTTAATCTTAAAATTTTGCAATGCTGAATGCAATATATTTTGCATTCAATACAGATCTGTGATTTCCAAAAAGTCCATTTTGAACGCAATTATGTCATTGCTGTTTGTTATATCATTCTGTTCTTATCTGATATCGACATGAGGGTAAAATGTTAGTATCAAAGTGTGCAACTAACATTTGTTTAATCATCCAAAACAGGCAAAATCACGTGATATAAAATAAGAATAGTCGTCACAAATTTCAATAAAAAGTAGAAATTTGTTTTTGACGTTGGGTACAATTGCTGTAATTTTGAGTTAACTTTCCCTCCTGTATTTTAAAAATTGGCAGCTTAACTTTACTAAGGATATTTTACATCACTGTGTATGACAAATATCGAACAAACAGAGTTATAACATTGTTCTCATTTTCAACATTTGCTTAATCGAAAGGAAGTTTTGTAACGTCACAAAAGATTGCCTTTTTGAAGCAAACATTTTATAAAGTAGCATTAAATATGTACCTGTTCATATGAGACAACATTTGGATCTTTCTTCTTCAATTTCTCCGATGATTTGTTTTCTCTGAGATCTTTTTGACAACCGACCAATATGATTGGCTGATTTGGACAATTCTCGCGGATTTCAGGGTACCACTGAAATTGAGAAATCGCAAATAATTAATTTTTAGTTACTGCATGATGAGAATAACAATGCATGGTTATTAAAACATGTTTGTTATTTGAATCAAAATCATTTAGTGGAGTACAATGACATTGGTCTATGTTCTTCAGGTATGAAATGTATAGAACAGAACAGATTTAATTACAAAAGCACATATATACAACATACATTAGATACAGCGAGTACAAACATACATACAAATTTAGCATTGGTATTAACAGTTATAAACATTATTCATTTCTTCCTGTCTGATACTAAATGATTTATCATAAATTATTGCTTATCTATTTAATGTATTCGTATTAAATGCATATGAGAGATGAATTTATTTATTTATTTATTTATTTATTTATTTATTTATTTATTTATTTATTTATTTATTTATTTCCTCGAAGGACTTGTCAGGTGTTCAGGAATGAATAGTCATGATAAAATACAGTTTCCAGCAGCTGTAGAAAATTTCCCGGTACTTCTGTGTTGTTTGTGTTGTAATATTTTCCATGAATCACTTATTCCGATATGATAAGTGTTGTAGGTGAAAAAGTGCTTAAGCCGGTGCTAGGGAGCATAGGAAATGTTGCATTTTTATTATTGCTTTATTTTTTTAGAATTATGTTTATTATATCTCTCATGAGTGATTTTAGTTCATTTTTGTGTGTTAAACTAAATAAGAAACATTTTGAAAATACGTTATAGCACATTGATTGAATTCCTTAAAATACATTAGTCTACAAATTATTTTGAAGATACAGAGTTGTAGAGTACTTTTTTATTTTGAGTTCGTAGTTATATCAAATTGACCTTATAAACAATACTGTACATTTTTGTAACGGAATAAATTACCTTGGAAACGACTCTGTCTAGAGATTCCGGAACTCCGACGGAAAAACACAATAAGATTATGTCAGCATCGTTGTATGACAACGGTCGTACCCGGCTGTATTCATCTTTCCCTGAAGAAAAAAAACCAATGACATTTTATAAAACAGACAGTAATATCTAAACATTTATAAATACCCCTACTTTCATAAAATCAGCTGAAAGGCATTTTAATGGAAGGGAAGTGCTTTTGCGGAACTAGTACAATGTTTCAAATTATGAATAAAAAGAACCAAGTCTAATTATTTATAAAAATGGTGAATTCGAGATTAATAATAAATTAGGTACAGTGAGCTTATTTTTCATCAATTTTTCTTTTCTGAAACTTACTATCCTAGATAATGGACAATTTCATTATTCAATATTTATTCTATACGTGTATATATAATCATTTTCCTTATCACGTAAAAGATGTTGCGTGCCTAAGATGTTGATCCAAACCCATTTGTACGAATATCTCTTAAAAAATCTATATAGTTTAATTAAATGAAAGAGAAAAAAAAACATCTGGCGCCTACACATAAAAAGCTGTCGTCACACATTTTTCTAATAAGCGTAACAGAACAGAACAACATTTTTAATACGACTTGTTTATAGTACATTATCTACAAATCATTATATTGACATACGAGGTGCGTTCAATTGTACATTCAGAGAATTGCCTTTCCTTTCTGTATTCGATATTTTCTTACTATAGTGCAAGCAGTTTCAAAAACAGTATCTTTCTCATACATTTTCAAGTACACAGGGTTCGATTACGATAACTTGAATGTTATTCACAATCTTTAGAACATGGATGGTAATACTTCAAGTGATTCTAGTTAAGGTTGTCATTGATTCATAACAAGGCATATTGACGATACATCGATATCGGATTACAAATATCGTCGATACATCGATATATCGACATATACTCCTAATTTCTTGCATATAATTCACTTTTATACCTGTTTAAACGATTTCAGTAAAATAATGTTCTGTTCATTCAAATATGTCGTGTCTTGTTTATAAATGTCCTTTGCATGTTTTTTTCTAACCATTTTTTTGTCATCACTGCTATAAAATGTGTCCATTATGAAACGATAGCTTAGTGTTAGACATGGTCACCTGCTTTTGTATATATTTTTGGTGAATTTCTATAATTCATACACATTAAAATAATTTATCAAAATTATCGATATATAACCAGGTTTTTCTTTTTATGTTCTCTTTATGTTAAAAAGTAAAATGGCATATATTTTTTATTACAGTATGATCATTTATAACATATCATATGATAACATAAGACATATTCTATTCGACATAAAACATATTTTTATATATTAATATTTATACAATTAATGGTAATACAGTTTAAATGTAATGTTGTGTGAAGTTTTATAAGATATTATTTTCCTCATACAGTTAGTTAGCTGAGAGGTTTTCTTGACAAGTATAACAAGAATTTGTAAATAACACAATTATAAGTATGTTACTTTAAGTTGACAAAATATTGCATTAAGCTACTTACACATACGAATCAAAATTGAAAGATATTTCCATTAAACGGCAAATATTATTTTTCTAAGATGACATTACCGTTGTATGTACTAAGCAAATTATTGTTGTGATTATCTCCCTTTTACCAGCATTGGCGAGAAAGCTAAACAATTTATCATGTTGTTTGTTCTTGATATAAACATGTATGTGTTTCGAACTTCTACATTGTAGTCCATTTACAAAAAGATATGGTTTGAAAAAAACTTTCCACGTAAATTGTAATATTTTTGGCATACTAATCTGTTTTTAACCAAATTTAATAAACGATTCCGACATTTTCTATTTTTCGTTGTAATTCCTTTGTAATTGTTTGTACATTCCTTTACCTTTTTCCAGATTGGGAGCTTTGAGTCTGAAATTTATAACGCTTAAATATTTTCACATTTAAATTCTTGTTAATATAGGCTGTATGGTAAAAGTCTGCTAGAATTATTATTCTTTGAATACAAAATTTGTTTGTAAATATATAAATTTCTTTGTTTGATTACATATAATACCAATACTTATTTATTATCTTGCTAAAGCTATTTATATTTGGTTCAAGATATAAATTATTTTATAAGCTGGGTTTTTTCTGTTGCATGATATGATAACTCATTATCTGCATCTTCTTATAGCGTGTTGTATATTTTTCTAAAAATAGAATATTTATGTTTTACAACCATAATATTCAAACACTTCATCGCTATAATCCATTTTTGACAATAAGTATTTTAATCATTAACAATGACTGTAATGCGTCAGGTGCATTGCATTAACAGTTTCATTGGCAAAACGTCGTACACAGTTTCATTGGCAAAACGTCGTTTACAGTTTCATTGGCAAAACGTAGTAAACAGTTTCATTGACAAAACGTAGTAAACAGTTTCATTGACAAAACGAAGTAAACAGTTTCATTGGCAAAACGTAGTAAACAGTTTCATTGGCAAAACGTAGTAAACTGTTTCATTGGCAAAACGTACTGAATAGTTTCATTGACAAAACGTAGTAAATGGTTTCATTGACAAAACGTAGTAAACAGTTTCATTGGCAAAACGTAGTAAACAGTTTCATTGGCAAAACGTAGTAAACAGTTTCATTGGCAAAACGTAGTAAACAGTTTCATTGGCAAAACGTAGTAAACAGTTTCATTGGCAAAACGTAGTAAACAGTTTCATTGGCAAAACGTAGTAAACAGTTTCATTGGCAAAACGTAGTAAACAGTTTCATTGGCAAAACGTAGTAAACAGTTTCATTGGCAAAACGTAGTAAACAGTTTCATTGGCAAAACGAAAGTAAACAGTTTCATTGGCAAAACGTAGTAAACAGCTTCATTGGCAAAACGTAGTAAACAGTTTCATTGGCAAAACGTAGAAAACAGTTTCATTGGCAAAACGTAGTAAACAGTTTCATTGACAAAACGTAGTAAACAGTTTCATCGACAAAACGTAGTAAACAGTTTCATTGGCAAAACGTAGTAAACAGTTTCATTGACAAAACGTAGTAAACAGTTTCATTGGAATTGGCAAAACGTAGTAAACAGTTTCATTGGCAAAACGTAGTAAACAGTTTCATTGACAAAACGTAGTAAACAGTTTCATTGACAAAACGTAATAAACAGTTTCATTGTCATTGACAAAACGTAGTAAACAGTTTCGTTGTCATTGACAAAACGTAGTAAACAGTTTCATTGGCAAAAAGTAGTAAACAGTTTCATTGTTATTGACAAAACGTAGTAAACAGTTTCGTTGTCATTTGTAAAAAGTAGTAATCAGTTTCATTGACAAAACTTATTAAACAGTTTCATTGGCTTTGGCAAAGCGTAGTAAACAGTTTAATTGGCAAACCGTAGTAAACAATTTCATTGACAAAACGTAGTAAACAGTTTCATTGTCATTGACAAAACTTAGTAAGTAGGAAACAGTTTCGTTGTCATTGACAAAACGTAGTAAACAGTTTCATTTGCAAAAAGTAGTAAACAGTTTCATTGTTATTGACAAAACGTAGTAAACAGTTTCGTTGTCATTGGCAAAAAGTAGAAAACAGTTTCATTGAAATAACGTAGTTAACAGTTTCATTGGCATTGGCAAAACGTAGTAAACAGTTTCGTTGCCATTGACAAAACGTAGTAAACAGTTTTGTTGTCATTGACAAAACGTTGTAAACAGTTTCATTGACAAAACGTGGTAAACAGTTTCATTGTCATTGGCAAAAATTAGTAAGCAGTTTCATTGACAAAACGTAGTAAACAGTTTCATTGACAAAACGTGGTAAACAGTTTCATTGTCATTGGCAAAAATAAGTAAACAGTTTCATTGACAAAATGTAGTAAACAGTTTCATTGGCAAACCGTAGTAAACAGTTTCATTGGCAAAACGTAGTTAACAGTTTCATTGACAAAACGTAGTAAACTGTTTCACTGGCAAAACGTAGTAAACAGTTTCGTTGGCAAAACGTAGTAAACAGTTTCATTGGCAAAACGTAGTAAACAGTTTTGTTGGCAAAACGTAGTAAACAGTTTCATTGGCAAAACGTAGTTAACAGTTTCATTGACAAAACGTAGTAAACAGTTTCATTGACAAAACGTAGTAAACAGTTTCATTGGCAAAACGTAGTAAACAGTTTCATTGGCAAAACGTACGTGTAGTTAACAGTTTCATTGACAAAACGTATTAAACAATTTCATTGACAAAACGTAGTAAACAAGCATAAACGTAGCATAAATTATTTGAAGTCATATATGGCCAAAATTCTGTCATTGTTACAATAAATGTTACGATAATTATATCGTTTACGAAAAATAAAAGTGGGGTCACCTTGTTTTGTACCTATGTTCGAGTTAAAAGTCGGAAAGTTAAAATGCTGTGTTTTATATGTTGGTGTATGTTTTAAAATGTTCATATTGATATTGGGTTGAAAATGGTTTAGGTCTTCTTGTATTTTTTTAAGTATTGACTTCTTATGTTATTCCAAAATTAACATGCTTCGGTTTTACTCATTTCATTTCTTATTTAAAAAACTTTCATTCATCGAAAAAAAAAGAAAAATATTAGTGTCTGTTACCCTGCAACTAGAAGACGTTTTATAATTATAGCATGAACACACGTTGTCATTGACATCAAAATAAAGTTTGTAATAAAAGTTATATCCATAATGTTCCATCTTGGTGAGTTTCTACAATGTTTATATATTTATGTTTATATTGTTTAAAATATATTTATATACCACCACTGAACCTGCCTTTCCGAACATTCCGAGTTTTATTTCTCTGACAGTTATACAAATTTAAGTGCACAATTTTTGATAAAAAATATGTTTCTGAAACTAAATAAATAAACCAAAGTAAATGATAACGATGGCCATATGCTGCATGGGGCAACTATTTCACAGTATCACGTCACGTATAAATTGATGTAATTATTTGATAAATATGTTGTTACTGTCTTGCTGTATCATTTATAAAAGTCATGGTCTCAATCGTAGTGTGATTTGTTTATATATGTATTTATGTAACTAATGAAATAAACATTGTTTAGAATAACGGATGTGGTGAGTT